GGCCGTGGCGGGGCTGCGGCCTCCCAGCAGCGCGGAAGCACACGCGGCCCGGTTGCGAATTGGGGGGAAGGAAAAATGCGTAATGTGATGTTCTGGTTCTTGTACTGTGTGCACTCAGCCAAGGAGTAGATCTCTGCGTTTTTATAAAGCAGTCTTGCCGTACCAGAAAGCAAGTTGTCACTTTTTTTCTCATTTCATGTATTATAATCCTGTTTGGGTTTTTGTGCTTTGGAGTGGGTTTTTTGGGTTTTTTTGGGTTGGGTTTTTTTTGTGTGTTTTGTTTTGTTTTTTTAAAAAAACCCACTTCACATAAACACTCATAGACAGGTGAAGCCAGGAAGAAAACCAGCTTTTGTCACCAACTACCTATGAGTTAGATGTGGTGCAAGTCACAGAGAATGTGTTAAGATGTAGGAACCATACTTCAGTTTTGCATTTGGCATTTCCCAGGCTTTACTGCAAAATGCTCTCAAGTTCTCACTCTGTCATCATGCATTTCTCGGTACCTAGCCATTTCATGTTTTGTGTAGCAAGTGCCATTTTCTTGTCAGGTGTCATTGCCATATCCAATATATATTTGTTGTATTATTGAAATCAGTAAAAAATAACAAAAAGTTTTTAAAAATATTTAAAATCCTGCCACCACTGGCTGTAATCATCAGGGAAAAAATACTTGTTGCTGAATCTCTGTCTACAGCTGTGGGTTTGAAAATGTGTGGGATACATGCTTTGTGCCTCCAGGTAGCTACACCTCCAAGATGAGACACACCAGGCCTCTGTGCACTGCCTATTCTTTTTTTCTCCAAGACCCAGCAGCAAAGGTAAAACACAAACACATTAATGGTGCTCTGAAATGATGCGTATTGTACAACTAGTCCATTATAGGAGCAACAAGATGTGAAGAATAAAACCCTCTCTGCCCATGGAAGCAAAGGACCTGGGCACATCTGGTGTTGCTTGAAACAGTTGTTCGTTGCGATGACTGTTCCAGTAACTTTAATTACTTACAGTTTGTTTTAATTATTATGTGTGCTGTAAATTACCTTCCTTCAGCTACAGCAGTTCTGGAACATTGCTTTGTGGTTTAACGGCAGTGGGTCCGTATCTGCCATACTAGTTCTAAAATTTAAATTCAAGCAAATGGAAACACGCAAGCTGAAATGTTCAGGCGGTTCGGTGCCCATGAAGATTTTCCACGGCCTTTGCAGGGTGCTCCCTTTCCTGAAACCCAAGGTTCTTTTCCACGCAGACCTAGCTGTGATCCTGTACCTTGTTGTGCACACTGGTGTATTACTGAAAATGAAATGCAAGTTAGAACGGACATTATTAATATGAAGCTTAATATTCATACAAAACACAGAACTTCTTGTTCTTTCACACTTCCTTGTGCATCACATTTTCAACTTGCTAATGCGATGAAATCTGTTGGGCCGCCTCCTTATCTGTTGTGAGGGCTCATGTTCTATCCCCCTGCTTTTCCCTTCCTCTGGCCAGCCCTCAAAGCGAGTTTGTCCCCACGCTCACCGTGACAGCTGTTTTCCTCCTGTCACCGTGACCTCCTCTCCCCCAGTACGTGGGCCTCTTCCTGCTCCTTCACAACCTGAAATAAAACCAAGCTCTGCTCCATTTTCTTACCACTGCCAAGCAAATGTTGCTACAATATTTGCAAGCACCTGTTGTGGCATGGGTTTTCTCCAAGCAACATGTGTGACCAGCAGAGTGGGTGTCAGAGCTAGCAGAACATGCCACTGGGAGAAGAGGAAGAGGAAAGGGAGGAAGGGTTTTCAGAGGGACGCTCACTCTGAAGCAGGCTTGGGGCATGTACCTTGGGGCTTCTGTTCAGCATGCTCATGAGGTGCTAATGCTCCCGTCTCCTTGTCACACCTGAAAGTAGACTGTCAGCAAAAACCCAGGTCTCAGCCCCGGATGGAACCAACATGTCTAGAGCACACACTTGGAGCTACAGCTGGAAGGCATTCCTGGTTTCAGCAGCTGAACATGAGCACAGCAACCAATCCAGCCCGGCGCATCTGCCTCCAAAACATTTGGTCACACTCTCAGGTGATGGTGGGGTGAGAAGCTCAGCAGGTTTTCTCTGCCCATGTCCCCTGGAGATAGCCAGGCTCAGCTGCCCCAAGTGCACTGGCAGCCCTGAAGCCCTTTCATGGCCAAATTTACTCTGTAGTAAGAGATTCCTTAACACCTCCCAAATTTTGCAGTGCCCGATCAAAACTAACTAGTGTGAAAGACCATCAGGTGGAAGAGGTGCCAAACAGAGGGAGAATATGCAGGACTATCTTATGCTTTGTCATGTGAGGGTAGTTTGCCATTACTGGATAAAGTGGAATGAACAATGCCTAAAATACCTAAAGGTCTGACATTTTTAATGGGCTTCAGAATGTCTAAATGTGATATTTCACAAAGCTGCTATTCATATATTATTAATATAAAGACAATGGATGGAAATACTATGGAAAGAGACTCATAACTGTGCCTTTCTGTTAGAAGTTTTCATTCTAGATGAATGCACATTCTAAATGTTCTAATTTCTCTGATTTTCTTAAGGTTTAGCAGTTTAGGCTGAAATGTTCTATGTTAGGTGTCTGAGATTTTTAAGTACCAGTCAAAACCGTTTTTTACCATTCCTGAGGTAGAGAAAACACATTGCTTTGTCAGTGTTAAAATATGCTTAGACAAGATTAAATTTGTACCCTTCTTCATTTTGCTCCTACAAATCTGTAATTGAATTACATTCAGTTTTTGTTTTGAAAGGACATTAAACTGGCAACGGCAGGCAGGAAGATTAGGAAGCAGGAGGATGAAAATTGTCCTACTTTAGTTTTGTTCCTTTTGTACATACACACCGTAGTGCAGTCTTTAATTCCATGAACTATTTTTTCACCAAAAGGGAAGAATTCAAGTTGAATAGCAGAACAATTTCCAAAAAGTAATAGCAAACCTTCTGGGTCCTGCATCTACCTCCCAGAACAGATGTATGACCAACAGCAAAAAGATGCTTCAGTAGAGCTTGAGGATGGAGGAAAAGGAGAGCTCTAGGAGAAGCTCACCCATGGGAGGAAATACCAACTCCTCTGAGGTCCAAACAGTCTGTGGTGGGATGTGGCCGGGTTATCAGGAAGCAGTGTGATCTGTGAGTAATGCACTGAGGCCAGTCTCTGCAGCATTTTCTGCCTCGTTTCAGCCTTGGATGAGTGTTTGGATTGTAAGCTGATGTTGTCCCTACAGACATCTAACCCAGTGAGAAATGCTAGCTGGTCCTCCTCCAAAACTGACTGCTTTCACAGCTTTGCTAGCAAAGCTGCTGAAGTAAGCACTTACCAAGTCATTGAGGTGAGTTAGCTTAAATACTATTTTTTTGATAACTAGGTATTTCAGTAAAAGAAGCAGCTCAGCCAATAGATCTGAGGGTCAGCAGCCTTCAAATGGAGGTAGCAAAGAGCAGCAAGTGGCGGTTATCTCTCCCACCAGCACAGCTGGGGCCTGAGGAGAACATCTGTCCACAGAAATTACATTGACTGTTCTTGTTCACCAAGACAGCTTTGTCTGATGCAAATTAGGGAGCATTCACGTGAACTGTCAGCAAAACTGTGGGGAGGGTTAACTGCAGAGCAAGCACAGGTGGATGTGAGAGAAATTCAGCCTAAGGAAAAATGAAACGCTTTTGAACGTTGAATGATATATGAGTTGTCAACACTCTAAAGAGAGATATCCTGGTTACATCAAAATGGGCACCCAAAATGCAAGCACCCTTCACTGTTTTGGTCTTACTCTCCCTGACATTGTTTCTCATTGGTGAGACTGGGCTCTGCATCCTGGTTTACAGAACTTCTAAAAGATCCTGCTGCGGCATTTGAGTCAATATTCAAATGACTACCACGGGAAAGTCAAAGAGGAAGTTGGCCATTTACTGCAGAGTTTTCCTGGTAAAGGGCAGCATTCCTCGGGCTCAACGTTCAGCCTGCCAGTCTGATTTTGCTCAATGGGGGGTGCCTCTGCTGTAATAATCCAGGGGACAGAAAAAATTTCTAGCCCATCAATGAGAAAAGACTGGGAACGCAACAGAGGTCTCTCAGCCTGTCTTTTTGTGGTTTCCAGGATATCCTGTGCCATTTCCTCCATTCTTCATGGTGTTTCTTGCATGGGAAGGAACAGGTGCTACACAACTCTGAATGTCAAACCAACACTGCTCTGCTTCAAGCTGTGGGGTTTTTTTAGCTGGCAGACAAATAAAGTCTTTTTAGTCCTTTAGAGGGTTTGGGGGAAAGATCCATGAAAAAAGGTGGCTGCTCTGTATTTCAGCTGTCTCGCTTCTGAGTGTCCTGACACCAGGCAAACACACATCACCAGTCTGACCTTTCTAGGCCCCTCCAGTGAGATTGTTTCCAAGTCAAATGATTCATCTGAAGATTCTCTCTTACTTCATGAGTGAGTTCCCAATCACACTGAGTTCTCAAAGGATTCAGGTTTGTAGAGTTCACCAGTGACCAAGAAGACATATTTACTATCTAAAAAAAAAAATTAACATGAGCTGAAAATTGTTCTTATAGGAAAGGAGTCAGACTGAACTCCTAAGGCAAATTTTCTGTTCTACAATAAATTAAATTTGGCTTTCTGCAGCAGACCCTTGAAGAGCTGTAGCATAGCGTAGCTGAAAGGTACTGTGTACTTCCATTATACAAATGGAAAAGCTTACTAATCTTACTGCCACCAATGAAAATGTTCATTCTGATGACTGAACTGAAGGAGGAAGGGACAAGACAAGGAAGCTCCAATTCCCCACCTTCTTCCCAAGAAAGACCCAAATGTCTCTTTCCTCTGTGTCTATGTAAAAGCTAAACACCCTTGAAACAATCCCAGTTTTCTTGGCCTGTGACCTGTGGCATCAGGGTTTCCTTTTGGAAAAAAATACTCATCTTCCTGCATTATGGGGCTATTTTTATGAACAGTGAGTATGAGACATATGAAAAATAAATCTTTGACCATGAAAATAACAGAGGAAACAAGCTTTATTTTTATTATTTGAAATTTTTGTGCGTGGTAAAGGTACACATTTGACTCTGGTTTTCCTACATTTCCAAGACAGTAAATTTTTTTTTAATCATCGGCTAAAGCATCAATAATACCGTGGCACACAGGAAGCTAAAACTACACACACACACACACACACACACACACACACACACACACAAACACTTCGATGCGCATCTTTCATCCTTGACCTTAAGGAGACAAAAGTTTGTATTTAGCTTCACAGGGATTTAAAAAAACAAAACAACAACAAAAAAATGAAGTGAGAAGAATATTTCATTATGGGTGTCAAGAGAGTGCAAGGCTTACATGTTCACAAAATATATGAGATCGACCTACAAAGATGGAATGTAGAAAAACTTTTTTAAAAAATCAAGAAAAAAGACAGACTGACTCCTAGAACTGGAAAGCTGCAGTGTATCAACTGGTAGAGATGTCTAACAGGGGGTACTGCCATACACTATGCAGCTTAGGGAACATTCCCATGTCATAAAGCCAAAGCAAAAGTGTCAGGGTTAAGGCCGTGTTGCTCACAAACATCAACTGAAGTGCTGTACATTCATCAGAAATAACACAACCCGTTAGGAATCTTTCTACTCCATAGCACAAATAACCTTTCACACACTCTCCACAAACAGGCCAAAACAATCACTGCTCACAATTCTTGAAGAAATTTTTCAATAATTGGGCACTTTTAGTTCTCATTATGGCAACACTAGATCCTTAGTTATAAAAAATATTGACATAAAATCGAAAGCCCTCTAGCTTTTACAGAACAAAAGAGCATTTACTAATAAATAACTCTCCATCCACATTAGGCAAATGATTGCCTAAACCATTTAAATTTTCTTTTTCAGCTACATTGCTGCTGGTTTAGCCTATGTAAAAATCCCCTACTGTTTATATTAGATTTATCTGAACAGATCCTTTTATTCTATTCACAAAACAATGAAAATACAGTTGGCTAGTTTGTCCTAAAATGCTTCAAATTACACAAGACCTGATAACCTTGAGATTACTTTTGAGTTGAAGATTAGTTAAATGAAGCACATACTTTCACCATTCATGCTGTGCTGCTAGTCAATTAGCATTCCAGGGAAGTCAAGGGAACATTTGGTTATACCTGAAATCTGGCAGCAGAATGCCTATAAAGCCTTTAATAAATGCTAACAACTCAGCAAATCAGGTAGTGCAATTTTGACATTCACTTAATTGGATGAGAAAAGAATCTGCCAGCTTTTTAGAGCAGAATTTCTGCTTTGGTTGCTGTTTGTAAGGTTTGTAAGCCAAGCATTTTAGCTAAATTGGCTTCAGAAGCACACCGTAAAAGCACTGTGTTTCTCAGTTTCCCTGTGCCAGGCAGATGAAGTCAGACGTTGGAAGGGAATGCCCTGTGCCACTGAATTTGAAACTGTTGCTGGCAGCATTTGCTATCAGAAGGAACTCCAAATTAGTGATGTTTTTCACGTGCACTAAGTGCTGCTCTGGTGATAATGTCTGAAAACTCAATAATGTCTGAAACCTCAATAATGTCTGAAAACTCAAAAGACTATTCAATCTCAAACCCAAATCCACATCACCCCTAGTAGTTGTTAGCTGGGTTGTAAGGGGGTTGTGTACAGAATTCCATATTTCATCAGGATGCACTGGGTTGACATAGGTTATATAAAATCCTGGTAAATACTGAGTCAAAGGGACTGAAAATCTTTTGAAGAAAAGTGTATACATAGACTAGTACTGTCTTAAGTATATGTTTTGATATAAACGTTAGGGTCTGATTTCTGTGCTTCTCAGAGTTCCTGGTAACAGAGGATTTGGCAATGCTTCCTGCATGGAAACCATGCAAATTTAGTAAAATGTTATTATAAAAATCCAAATTTGGAACTATACTTGATTAATATTATCCGTAACTGACAGCAACAGCACATTTCTCATTTTCTCATTGTTTTTATCTCAAAGAACATGTGCAACCTCTTCTCTTTGTTAATAAATACAGGTAAAATGCTATGTACCTTTTTTCACTGATAAATTTGCCATTTAAAGGAATTCCAATGTCAGAAATTGTTTGTTTGCCAGAAGGTTGCTTATAAGGACACTTACAAGGAAATTACTTGATCATCAGAAAATCTGACATACAACTTTGTTAAATTTTGATAGGACAGTTTATTGTGTAATGACTGGGATACCATCTTCAGAATTTTAGGACAAACTCAGTTCAAGCAGAGGATATTTTGTTCTCTTGGTAATAACACATTTAAGTTTTAACATTTCAAAAACATTACCACCAATTGCTTAGCTGCATTATATATAACCTTAAGCCTTATACACAAAATACTTATTCCAGTGAAATAAGGAAACTTATCTTTGCTTCAGAATTTGTAAATTGGCTCTATGTGCAAAAAATAAACAAGGGAAAGAAGAGGAAATATCTTTAAGAAACAGTAATTAAAAAATAGACAAACTCCACATTTAAGAACCTTGGGGTCTGCTTTTTTACAAGTCAAATGCATCTTTATGAAAAAAAATTAGTTTTTCTCAAATTCATTGAAACAACAATCTTATTTCAATAAGACAAAAACATAACGAGTAATTTAACAAAGATTTCTTTCCATTTTGCAAACATGCTTAAAATACTCCCTTGTTCCTGACCCAATGCCCTTTTGTTTCAAGGCCCTAAAAATGAGAAAAGAAAGACAGTACTTCCCAGGCTTTTGTAGGCATTGGCAGCAACCTCATCAGCTCCTCAAAACGAGGTTTAAGAATGAGCACCACTCTATCCATATTAGGCTACGGTAGCAATTCATTCTTTGACCGTTGGATTTAGAATTAAGAATAAAGCCAATGCTACTTTAAAAAGGACAAGTTCACACTTAAAAAATCCCAACATTAATAACAGAACCCAGTCATATGATTGTAAGCATTTCCAATTAAATTAATACTTCAACAAATAGCACAGAAGATCCAGCAGGAAGAAGAAGGGACATTTTTTCAGAGTACTGCCATTGACAGATGGCATACATACGTTCCAGTTTGCTGAAATAACCCACATTTAGATTTCTTAATTTTCATGTCAGTCATACATACATACATACAAACAAATCGGAACAAATCTCACAGTCCTTATTTTGTCCTATAACAAAATTCCCTTTGATGAAGGACTTCAGGAATTGGTTCAAATTCATTCTTATTTGTAATGTATTTTTTCTCATGTAAAAACAAATAGCTTTGGTAACCCTTGGCTTTCCTATACAACCTCTGTTTACCACAGTTCCTTTGGCTGTATAATGCAGGTCCTCCATAGGGGTACCTCTCTGGCTTTCTGTCCTGTGTGATGCTGCATTTTATTTTATTGGTTAATACAATGAGTTGCCTTAAGGAAACATGGCAATGAACACATATGAAAGAGTGGCACACATGAGATTGAGTTGACATTGTAATAATCTGGATCCTAATGAACTAGTTTGGTGTCAAAAGGTCTGTTGTTACACTGAAATTCAGCTCTCACTAATGTATCACTATGATTTTTTCCAGAGCTTTGGAAATGTCAGGTCTCTGCAAAGTCCTTCCAGCACATTGAGCAAGAGGAAGAGAGAAAAACAAGCACATGAAACAATCCTTCATTAATCCCACATGAGTAGGGAATGCTCATTGATTCTCATAGTGCTAAACGTTGAGCTGTGTTAGGTCTGACGGTTAGAGCTAGATGGATTTTGTGAGATTTAACCTTATACTAAAAGGACCTACTTGTTACAGATAGTAAGACCGAAGAATGTTAGAAGTGAAATACCTACCATGATAATGAGATCTAGGAGATTCCCAGAATAACCTCTGGGTTAAATAATGCTTAACAATGATACTTCTTCAAATTTGGAAGCTCTGAGCGAGAGCTACCCTTTGTAGTCTTCAAAAAGCTTTTGGGACTCTCCCCAATTTTTTCTTATTTTTGCCTAATTAGTTAATTCCAGTTCCTTAAGTTGCAGTTTGTGTTTAATATCACATTGTCTTTATGAATTCAGTTAAAGAGGATTTGTGCATTAACCCTTACAACAAAAAGTTCAGTGAGAAACGCAAGAGGTGCAGGTCCTACGTAAACAAGGTAAGATTGGAAATTAACACGAGAAGTCCATAAGAGACTCCTTCATTATTAAAATGAACTCAAAGTAGGAGATATAGCCTGCATTGGATCTCTAGGACCAGTCTTTTCTTAAGGGTGGACAATTATTCAGCTCCAGAGCTCATTGCTATTGTAAGTATCGATAGACCTTGAAGCAGTGATTTCCAGAGTCTGCAACTACAACATGGCCATCTGAAGTAAGGGCCAGACCTTGGGGACCATAAAGTGGGTCAGCAGAGGTGTTAATGTAGGATAAAAATGATCCACTTCCATCGAAAACCTTTGAGGGTGAGAAAGCACAGAATAAATGTTACAAATAAAAAAGAAAAATAGCAGACACAAGTCTGCTCTTAATTATACCATTCTATTTCTCATTTCTGAAATGGTTGACATACACTAGAATAAACAAGGGCACAATCTGATCTGTTATTCTCATAATATACAAGTTTATATACAAATGTATTTTCTTATTAAAAAGAACTAACTAAAGTTTCCAGGTACTTTGGCAAGAATTAAACACGCAACAAAATAATAAAAGGAGCACCTCAGCTGTTCCTTGTTCTAAAAATAGTCCACTACAATAAATGAAACTCAGTCAGGAACTCAACCAACACCTTGTTTTCCTAACAAATATTAGTGTTGTGGCTAGCATGACTCTTAGGTTCCCACACAGAGAAAACCAGGAATTTGTTTACACTGGTGACAGTGCTTCCTGAGAACAACTCATAAGCATCTCCCTCAATTTATATTCAGTGAAAATAATACATACACTTAGTTATTGATTATATATTCTTTGGCAAATAAGAAGGCTTTGTGATTAGCACTTGAAAGATAAAGAGTGCGACTCTCATAACATAAAAGCAGAATATTTTCTCAACATTTAAAAAAGATGATAAAAATCTGCTGCACTTGCCTCAGGCTCTATACAGATCATTTGCTTTTTCATATTTTCCACCATGTCTCCAATCTTCTGTTATGGTGATTATAAACTACTATCATCTCACCAATTCTTACAAGTCTCCTGAGTCATCAAATAGCTTTTGGGGTACTACTTGGAGACAAAAGCCTCGGTCACAGTAACCATCAGAGTTGCTAGCAGTCACACTGGGAAGTCTATGATCTGACACCACTGGTTCTAAAAGTGGACAGACCGGCAGTGAGGCATATAAAAGCCTGTGTTAGAAACCACATCCCTTCTAATGCTCCTATGCTGTTTCTTGGGAAGTCAGAAGACTTCAGTGGCCAGAGTTATCAATCCTTCAGTTTTGCTAATTAAGCACCTTTGAAACACAGAAATTTCTACCTGTATTCGGCTGTTTCCCCAATCTGCTACGATAATATTTCCATTAGAATCTACAGCTACTCCAGTTGGTGCATTAAATTGTCCATTTCCTTCTCCATTTGATCCAAACTTCAGTATGAATTCTCCCTCCTGATTAAATACCTGTATGGGTTAAAACGAAAACCTGAATATGGCATTGTATCAAATATTAGTAATCTACTAGTACCAGTTCACCTGTTAACAAAACTAGGAATTGAAGAGTTCCTAGGAACACCACCCCCAACACACACACACACACACACACACACACACACATACACTGACTCTGAAGATGGGAGAAAAGGTGCCTATCTCCCCTCCAGCTCTATTACACCATACAGTATTTCCCTTCTCACTTAAGATCTGATTCAGCACAGACACAGAGGTGGAGGGCCCCTCGAACACATCTGCAGCTTGTGCGTCTTGAATGAAGAAGTGCTGAGTGCAGATAAGGCACTGGGAGTCAGCCCTACAGAAACACAACTGAGCAGATGCACTCTTCTCTGATTTTCATAATCTAACATATACTGAGAACCATGGCATGATGGCATGCTGCTCTCTGTATAGACAGCTCAGCAACTGAATTCTCTGTGATGGTAACAGGTTTAGACAGCAGAAAGATGGTACTGATCAATAACTATTCTGTCAAGTGACCTGGATGCGCCAGTGGGACCAAGTGAGATACAGGATATGTCATTTGCATAGCCCCATAGCCATCTCTATTTATTTTGGTCCATCTTGGACCCAGGCCCAGCTGTGCCACAAGGTCCAACGGTGTTCTTAGAGACAGGTCATGGCTTGCACAAGAAAATGCAAAAACCTGACAAATGCCAAATGCACGCTGAAGTGCTAATAAGATGTGGAAGATGTGAGGAAATCATCCTATCCTTGAGCACCTACAGCGAACAGAGGAAAAACATTTGGGGGAGGAAATTAATGAGGTATCATGCTGGTGCCTCAGATGATTAAAGAAAATAGAAAAAAAATCAACTGATAAAAAGACCAGGCAAAGATTTATTGCTCTCTCCCTGGGTTAAAATGGAGATTGTGAGTGGCTGAATGAGAGAGAAGCCTACATTGAGTAGGATTTTACATAGAAGATGCCTGACAGAAGGAACGTGATTGAAGGTTAATGGGGGAGGAGGGATAATGTTGCCGAGTGAGGATGTTTAATTCAAGACACTGGTGGCAGTAAGAGTCTTTGGGACCCATAAGAGTGAAATTCATTTATAAATTTATTTATTATTTAAAACAAAATGTACTTTCTGCTCTTTTCCCCACCATCTAGCAAAAGATAACAGCATCACCTATATTATAAATTACTCTTTAGAGTGTCAACAATTTATCTGTACCAATTTAGAGAACACTACAAAAATAAGAATCTTTTCTAGTTGGTACCAAATTGTAACAAATAACATTTTTATCCTATTGAGTCACACCAGAGACAGTCAGGAACACTCTGTTCTCATTAGGAATGCAATAATTATACATTCACTAAGATGCCACACTTCTTACATCTCTTCAATTGCTTTTTTTCATTTCAGTTTGCCCTTGTTAACTTTCTCCAGGCATTCTTGTTACCACAGCAAGCCCTGCTGGTGGAGGGGTAATTTATGGAGTCGAAGGCCTCCTGCTGCTAAACCACATAAATAATATGCTTTAGGGCTCCTGCAGCAGTCTTGGTTTCTTTGTTGTAATCCAAACCACGAGTTGCTACTTCCTCTCTAATTCCAAAAGGATACAAGAACAAGGTCACTATTCAAAAGCTAGATGATTCAGCAGCGCTCACGACATGAGGGTGTCTATGCTCAGACAGTGATTTCCTATTTCAGGTGAATGTGTAAGATTCATCATTTTAGTTATGAACACTGAAGAACTAGACTGAGGATTTATCTTTGTGTTCAGTCAGAACAGGCAGCCATTAGGTAAAATCTCAGGGATTTCACCAGTGCCTGGGACCCACACACATGGCCTGAGAACGCAGGTAGAAGAGCGTTCCGCTTCCCCTGTCCTCTGCTGCTGCTGTTGAGGGAGTGAAAAAGAGCATGGAAAGTGACTGAAAGGGGATGTTCTGGCCTGGAAATAAACATGGCTAGGTGAGCAATTCCTGAAATGGCCTGTAGCTCCTTCATATACATTTTCCACCGCATGACACCTCAGCATGTATCCTTGTTTTGGTTTATTATTGGGACAAACAAATACACCACCCTATCTTACCATGACTGTTTAACAGGCCATGAGTCAAGACTTTACATGGGTGTAAAGACTAGTGACCAGTTCTGCCCAGTGCAGAAGGTACAGGATGAAAACCCATGGTCTGTGTTACACAGCTGTTAAGGGTATCACATTGCAAATGGATCCAGTAATCTTAAAGGGTTTAGGATATTAAAAGTATAAATAAGGAGATATACACATATATATATATATATATATATATATGTGTATAAATAAGGAGAGATATATATATATTTATACCTATATATATTTTTATTTACATACCTATATATAGGTGTGTGTATATATATATATCTATATATATCTCTCTAAATACACCCCCTCCCTATATATATGTACACCTATATAGGTATATTTAGGTATACTTAATATAAATATAAGTATTTATAAATATATAGGTATAAAAATATATCTAGGTATAAATAAGGATATATAAAGATATATAAAACTGCTTTTACTGGGAAGTTCAAAAACAGTTACCAGACTTACTTAAAATAGGAAAGAATATAGGGTAAATAACAGTGTTGGCAGAGAGCTAATAAAAATATCTAAATTGATATTATTTATCTCAGGTACAACTTACGCTTAAGCAGTTGAACTAGAGAACATTATAGTGGCACCAAAGGCAATAGATTATACCTCTACTGCATGCAAATGTCCTGAATGTGCAGTCCTTGTATCAGACCTCATACATATAGTGTGATCTCTTTGTTTTTAACAATAATTTACATTCCCCAAGAAAGCACCATGATAGAATAAAAAGCTTTCCAAGTTGCCATTAATTGATAGTACCTTGACAGAATGGTTATGAAAATCTGTAATGATAATTTCATTGTTGCTGTTTACAGCTGCAAAATGAGGACCTGCAAAGCAGAAGAAGAAGAAAAAAAAATAACCACTAAATCAAAAAGTTTGCTTATATACAAAAAATTAATTCAGCCTGCCAGAATATTATATTTGGCTTCTAAGCAATAACAGTCAAATTAGGGATATCAATTTCAAATTCAGAGTAATTTAATTTCCTGTTTTAAAAAGCTCAGCATGCCTTTTTGTAAACACAAATAATCTCTTTTTCAACCAGTTGTCATCTAATGGTATCAAAAAGCATTATTCTTTCCTTCCTCTCTCATGTACAGATGACTATGTAGATATTTATGTGCTTATTAAGAATACAAAACGTAGTGTTTAGGCATAAAGTTGTGTATACACTGAAAACAGTTCTCAAAAATGTTCCTGTAAATCTTAATTGAAATCTATGCTTTGTGTGCTCACTTCTTACAAGCATTTGAGCAAACAAGTTTTAGGATAAATACAAAAGTTACTAAGAAGTACACTGGCAGGGAAAAAAAAAAGTGCATTTTTTGCATTACTTTGTGTATTGAAGTATGTTCTAGCTTGAAAACAGGCAAGTACCTGAATCAAAGTACTTGGTGTCATTCTGAGGTATTCTGTTATTAAACAGAACAGAACTCCGTTTCAATTTTCACACTGCGTCAGTGTAAACGATAAAAAGGGTGAAGACCTTTACACTGAAAACATTGTAGTGACGATTCACCTGTTTCACCTACCCTAGCACCAAGATGTGATACATTTCTCAAATGCAGTTACAGAGTATTTGCACGTGTATCTTCAGGGTGTATTCTTACAAAAATTTTATAATTAAAGACGTTGGACATACTCAGAAAATTTAGCTGTGTTAGAGCCAAAGCTCTCATAAACTATATATATGGCACTTCTGCCATAAGACATTGCAAGAGATCTCAAGTAAGATAAAAGCAGTTATACCACTGATGCTATTTCTCTCTTGTGCTGTGAACCAGTCAGAGCATCAGACTAATCTGTAACTACTTATTCAGAGTGACCCAACACCTGCAAATGTAATTTGGCATCTTCATTTCAAATTTTGAAAGAACAGCTATTCACTCAAAATATATGTTTGGTTTTTTAAACTTAATAGCATGTTCTAATTGAAAGACACCATGTGCAAGCAGTCAGTTGAAATAAGTGGCAATTTCCCCAAACTGGCATTTTCCATTTGCATAACTGTGTCTTCCTGATCTCAGTCTTAACACTATGCCATTACACTAATTTTCTAATGTGTGGGTAATACCACTTAGGGCATTGCTTAACATGTATCTGATCATTGGAAACACAAAGCATGGTGTTTGAGTTGATTATTGTGAACAGCTGAGTGTGGGCATTACTAGGCATTTATAAATACTAGTTAAGATCAGTCTCTTTTGGGTCACTGCTGAAATGCTTCCAGGCACAGAGAGGTAGATAAAACAATCTGGTCACAGCTACATTTTCAGAACAAATGTTGAAGTCTTCCTGACCAATTAAACAAATGGTGAAGTGAATAGGAGCTGTATGTTTAGTATAACATTTCCCCCACAGGAAAAACAAGTAGGATATAGCATCTTCAACATGCTCAAACATCATGCAAATATGAGCAGAAGAGGCAAGAAAAGGGGATTTACATATTACCATCAAGTGTACCTGCAAACTGCTTGTCACCGTTTCCTCGACTACCAAACCTGGTGACTATTTTCCCATTCGGCTGGAAGATGAAGACACAGCATGCTTTATTGTCCACTACGATGATGTGTCCATTACGATCCACAGAAACACCTTTAGGGCCCATAAGCTTTCCAGATCCAATTTTGGCCTAAAAGGGAAAACACAAACCAAGAAAATACATTGGTACGATAGAAATAATTTAGTACAGTTCAAAGATTGTATTACAGCACAGAGCAGGACGGAGAGACATTTTTGTCATCAAAAGTTTCCAAGAGAAAAATGATCATTTTTACCAGCTCTTATTGTGTACTTCATAATTTTTTGTTCACCTGAAAACAAAGAATTTCTGTATGTCCTTTCTGAAGTGGAACATTTGCCATCTCAACAACTGAGTCCACATATACAACTCAGGAGAAACAACATCAGATTTGTTCGTCTTGAGAATATACAGCATCTGTCAGAATCCATCACAAATGGCTGTATAGCCAGCACTAGCGTACCACCAGGATAGGCCGAGAGGCATAAAGGACTTCTGCCTCCCCTTGTATACTATTCCCAAGTGGACCAACCACCCGGTTACGGACTGGGAAATACACCTTTACAACTGCCTGCTATATTGAAAGAGTCAGAGAGCACTCTCGGAGCATCAGAGCTGGGTGAGATGTAGGCTATCATGTCCTCTGCTGCCTTTCTTGGGTGAGTTAGATGCCATGAAACTTCTGAGTGCTCTTGGAAAGAATTTGAGCAGAGCTAAAGCTTAGGCTAGCCTCTGTATCTTCCACCAGATCCATGTGGGATTGCTTCACTTGCTGCTTAGATACAAGGTCAGCTGAAACCTGCAAAGAGATAGGACTGTGCTGCCAAACAGCAAATAAAGTAATCTTTGAAACACTAAGCAAATCAAAGCTTGCTCCTGTCTTAGGTAAATAAAATCATTTCCATCACTTTAAATAGCCCTTGTGACTACCAAAAACATCTGCTAGCATAATCAGCAACAGGAGGGGAATTGTATACAATATGAAATAATGTATACAATGAAAACCTTCAGTGGAGATCAGGTGGATCTCACACACAGTGAATTATTTGGAAAGGCTAGAGAGCTGTCTAAATAAATCAGAAATCTGGTAGCATTCTTTAGTAGGATCAAAAAGAAGGGGATTTGAGGGGATCTATGCAACAGCATCCTATCCAGCCCAGAACAAGCAGAAATTGAGGCAAAGCCTTCCAAGAACCTATGAGTTACCTGGGCATATACCCAAGAAGATTCTAGGATCACCTTGCAACCCATTTCACATTTTTCACCATTCTGCTCTGTTTTCAGGCAGAGATTCTAGAAACTGGTTTAATCTACATAAAATCAGTTAAGCTTTAACGTTTCAGTTAAAAAAAAATATAAAAATACCACCTAATTGTTTGGGAGGTTTATTGTTGGAATGCAGCAATTTGCTTTCTCTTTTTTTGTTGTTTTTTTGTTTAAAAATGATGGACAGTTATCTAGGATTGTTCCAGAAGTCTGGTCTCCTACCAGTCTCTTTACTGTGTTGGACAAGCAATCCACCGAACAGGCTCTTTTGAAATTATGAATCCCTGAACTTTCAGATCCTGTAGTAATTTGTAAGACACATCCTACAAACTGCGGTCCATCTCCTTGGTGGAGAACATAATTTCCTGTTTCTATCAAAAATTCAGTGAAATAGATACCAAGATATTAGTCTTCTTTATGAAACAAGACAATTCTTTACCTCACTGCCTTTACAGGGGGGGACAGATCACCACCTACAAGCAACAATGCTTCTGACTTCTCTGCCCCTCTCCCCTCCCTCCTGCAAGTGGTGAGGAGTAGTTGAAGCTCTGTTAGTCTGTGACTATCAAAGTGGGACAGGTTACAGAGCATGAAGAAGATCCATTACCTAACTCACTTCTCTCAATTCCCTAATGTTTTCAAAGCGAACAACCATGTTACTGTCTAAAGGAGCTCAACTACCCTTAGTAAGCCCCATGCGCCTATTCCGTGGTACATTCTCATGGGTGGGGTTGCAGGTAAAAATAGGAGCCATCTAAAAATAAAGTCATATATGTTCCCTGAGGCTGTCTGGTACAAAGTCATCAACACAACTAAATCACCTCTTTCGGTCTCAAAGAAAACTCCAGGGAAAGTCTTGTAGCTTCAAGACTATGCTTAGCCAACATGCAATGATCATGTGTCTGGTTTACCTTCAGGTACATATGCTGTTATAAATTGCTAAATATTTAGGCAAAATCCACCTAATTAAATCATGCAAAAGTATCCCCAGGGAAAACTATTAAAAATTACTTTGTGTTCACCAGAGGAAAGATGTGAGCACACCTACAAAATGTATTCAGGTTTTCATAACAACAAAGAAGCAAAAACATAAACCAAATGCAAATCAGTAGATTTATTTCCTTTGGGGTCATTAAGTCATATTCCCTTCTTTCCTCTGGAATGTCTGTGCGTTTGCCTGCTTTTGCACTGCACCATGTCCTTACCATCTTTCCAGGATTCCTATGGAAAAGTGACTCAGACTCATGAGTACAGTGTCTTCCTGCCCATATAAATACATATGAAAAAAAATTAATAAGTCACGTACTACATTAATGGGCACTCAGTGCTGAGAAGAGTATAAAAATCGCTATTCTTGGGCCAGGATTTAAAATATAATTTGCAGGCAGCAATAAATTATGCCCAGCTAGGGTTTGCAATGCTTATTAGTAAAAATCTCTGTTTCCAGTTTAGATCAAAATATGCTGATGACACATTACTGGGTCTGGCTGAACATATGCTTTGTATATTTTTATTTTAGAAGGTTTCTTAGAATTATAGGTTTGATTATTTAGAACAGAACATTATGAAACCCAGTCACTCCTGTTAAGTGTATGAATGGAAGTATTTTGAGGCTTTTCTGCCATTAGAAATGAATAAAGTATAATGAATCATCTGAACCCTTAATACAAATAATGTGTTTAGTTGAATTCAGTCAAGGACATTATGTCCCTTATTTTATAGGCTGTTATGAATTTAGACTGGTTTTCAAATATGTGTTTATAAAGCCACCCTACCCGGGTGGAAAATATTCTACTGTGGGATATTCCTGGAAGTAAAAAAATCAGCTAGCCTATATAAAAATGTATGCAGACTTTTCCACTGTAGAAGTAAGTGTGTTAGGGTTTTAAGTTTAACTCCACCAATCTTGTTGCCTGAAAGGTTCACGATTGTCAGGAATTAATTTACAGACTTTCAATATACCATCTTTTCCTGTTTGAGAACTTCCCTAATACGGAAATACAATTTTGTCACACATTGCAATGTCACAAAATAAAAGAATTTATCACTCACCTGACTGTGTGACCATTAAACCACACTCCACAGAACTATTCCTATCTGAACATGCAACCAGCTTGAAGCAGATCCCTTAATTCTACTAATGAGACAAGAAAAAAAGAAAATTCTGCCAGAAAAAATGTTTCCTTTCATCTTTTCTGACTCATCTAAACTTGATCTTGACTTGCAGCCCTGTTTGGCTGATAACAAGCTATCTTAGATACAACCCTTCAAGACTAGAAAGTAATTCTCTCCTCAGAGGACCAAGAGGCCAAGACTCTTGGCCCTGTTCTCCAGTTCCTTCACTAGGTTTGAACCTCACCACTGGCACAGAAGCTGCTTCAGCATGCGTTCTCTCTTTAGCCTAGAAATGTGTTTTCTATAGCAGTTTTCTTAAGCAATTTCAGAGTAATTTACAGAGGAAGCCAGCACCATTATCAGCCTTTTATGGATGAGGAAAATAAAGCACTGGGAAGTGAAATGGAAAATCACTAGTCACTTGTGAGACCCGTGGCATAGCCAGAAATGGAAGCCCCAGTTCCTAAGACCCTATCTGAGGCTTTATAGTTCAGAGGATAACACAGCCTTTGATTTTAAGAGACTCATGTTTTGGTGTAACCTTAGATTAGGGTTTGTCCACCTCTGCATTATGCAAGTTTTACAGCCTTGAGAAAATTGAGTTCTGTCTCTGTTGCTACCAAGTGACAGAGGAAGGTGACGCTTTTCTGCCTGGCAGTGGAGGTTGCTGGGGTGAGTCAGGCCAGTGCTGTCATCAGGGAGATGCCTGGGCCTGGCTGCAGGGGAAATTTGCCTTCTGGCTCACATGACTACTAAAATGCCGCTAAGGGAGAGTAAGTGTAAGTAAATACAGAAAGAAGGGGACAACAACAAAAATGGTTAGATTAAGTTCAAAACAGCCCCCTGATAATGCTGAATTAACAACTAGCAGACCACCTGCATCAGAGCTCATACAAAATGACTTGCAGGCACAGTCCTTTGAAGGGAAACACCATTATCCCTTTAACTGTCTCTCTGTGTATTTTAGCAAGCATTGCCCAATTTAATCTGACAACCCCCCTGTAAGAATTGCCATTGCCAACACATAAGAAATTACAAGGCTTTATCCAGATTCCCACAGGCTAGATCTGTTATACCCATGTCCTGTGCTTCAACTATATGATTATGCCTGTCCTCCATAGATAAAATGCTTCTACAAACATTTGTATATATTCCTCTCATAAATATAGCCTGTTGCATTCAATCTAAAAATAGTGGTTTATATCACTGATGTTTCATTTCTTATTTAATCAGTCTAGTCCCAAAAACTATAAAGTCCAATGCATTAACCTGTATTAACCACACAAACATTGCCAACTTCACATAGCTCTTGCAAGCCAACAAACTCTTTGACTAAAAACAAAGCTAGGCTCCACATCAGAGGAACTAATACCTTAATAATTAATTTTTTTCAATACCCATCTCCCTGCTAGTAGTCTATAGCACATAGGGTCCTGGCTTCTCCAGAGTCATGGCTTTTTCCTCCAGAGCTGGCACCATCTGAAATGCTGGATTTACAGCATGTCTTCAGAAAGAAAGAAAATGAGCCCTCCATGCTCTGCATCCTGATCAAGCCGGTTCACATTAAAGATGTTAATAATTATTTAAAACACACATAAATTACTCAGAGTATTTGGATTCTTAACTAAATTACATCTTCATTTGGTGTCTTCATTCAAGGACTCCAGGCCAAAACCAAGGTTTTCCTGTGTAGCTGTATTTTCAAAACTGCTTTACAAGGAAAATCACATACTCTCTGCAAATGCAAGTAATTTGTAATTTTTTAACACTTGCATTGCATATCAGTATGGTTTTATTTTAGTTTCAAGTCTACACTGGATCTGTATACATTTAGAAGCGTACATGTCTGTTTCCCAGATGGAGGTCACTGAGGACTATGCAAGCACAGTTGCCTATTTGCTGTAGCATTTGTCACTTTGCAAAGACCACTCAAATGAAGGCCATTTCTTGGTACACACGAGAGCAGCTCAGAACCTGAGATTTTTGGTCATTAGATTTCCAGAAAATTTGGCAAACAGGCCATTTTCTCTGAAATGAAGGACTCTAGAACTAAGAAACTATGGTAGAAATTTCTCTGCATGTCCTTTATCTCACTGAACAGTGCATACTCCTTAACCTCAGCTACAGGTGACTATTTCCAGCCTTCACTGCCAAACTCAGTAACATGCATTTAGGAAACAGCACCAGATGGAGGCAACCTTCTCTGTGGAACTGCACCAGAATCCAAGCAAATAAATATTGCAAGTTGGCAAGCATCAGTGTAGTGTAGTAGGTCCCTTCTTAGACTCCTATTTTTCACTCCTGTTTTACTCCTATTAAAGGGATCACAGTTGCTATGAAAATGAGAGGTGTGCTTTTCTCAGAACTCCTGATTTCTGAAACCTAAGACATTATTACCGGCTTTCAGTTTTTCCAGTGCACATCACTCCACCTAAAACACCTCTGTCTATGCTGTAGCACTGGAACAACATCTTGCGTTGCCCTTCCTTGCATTTATTGCCAACAGGATCACACATGAATTATACACTTGATTTGCTGATACATATGGAATAAATAGAGGAAGTCATCATCAGTCTGCTACCTTATTTTTCTCCTCCATATGTCACTGAAGAGCTTCATGTCTTCTTCACAAGTTTTTATGTCTGCCTGTGTGTACACATATATGCACACACCTTCTTGTATAATCAGAATACTAATGATAGGAAGGTTGTTGAGCTAGTCCAACTAGACTTGATTACATTAGCTGTCCTTGACTATAAATTACGGAAAGGCATCCAAGCACTTAGCACATAGAACTGTAAAATAGAATGCATTATCTCTACTTCGTATACATTAGCATCACAGCTGTGACCTCTTCCTATTAATTATACAACATGGCTGTGTCATGGGTTTCCACATCACAACAATGGAATTTGGACTAAGTAACAACCAAACTACGTCGTTTCTTGACCAAAAAAAAAGATTAATTTGCATTCCTTTGTAAGACAGAGAAAGCTCAGGAGAGTTCACATGGTAACTTGTACCTTAAATTTTCCATCTGATGAGAATATGCTAACCCATTTATTATCATAATCTGCAATAATGATGTCACCACAGGGATGCACAGCCACTCCTGTTGGCCGCTGCAACTGGCCAGGAGACCTTCCTCGTATGCCAAAACGGCTTTTGAACTGACCATCATTGGAAAATATCTGTAACAGAAAACATTCATTTTAAAATTAAGTCTGCACAATAACATGATCTATTTCTTGGAGCTTATATTTTAGCAAGTCACTAATGAACACTACAATCAGGAGAGTTAGGAACATGAAGCACTTTTACATGGTTCATATTTGAACCTAATTTAAAGGGAGGCTTCTACCTGGACTCTAACTTCAAGATAAAGAAGTTCTCTGTACTTACATTGCACTGTTTCTTCAATGATCTCAAAGTACTTTATAAACATTAATGAATTAAGCTTCACAATGTCCCTCAGCTGGAAGGAAGTGGTATTATTCCCATATTAGAAATGAGCAAACTGAGGCACTGATTCAGCCACAGTCAAACCCTAAGTTTGTAGAAAAGATAGCAATAGAAGCTAAATGAGAATTTAAAAATTTAATTATTTGACTTAGGGATAAGTACCAGGCCATTTCCTGAGAGATGCTTTAGCCACACAAAATTCAGTCCACTGGTTGTGTCCCCAGGCCAGGTAATTAGATATTGAAGTTCCTCTAAGTGACTGCAAATTGCGAAGTGTGAGGGTGCTGATGAATATTTGACTCCGTCTCTTTGAAAATGCCTGGAAACAAGTTCTTACTGCATATGGCTTGCTGGTTCTGGCATACTGAAGAACAAGCCGTGCACTGCTGCCTTGTTCATTGCTACCACATGGGCAGCCTGAAGACTGATGACAAATTGTTAATGGTAAAAAAGATACATGGCAAGCAAAAGAAAAAACACAGCTTGATTTTCACACAGATTACAGAAGCCAGTAAGTCATGAGTGTCAGGGGTGCTACCACAAAAAAGATTTGATCGTAATATCAGACAGAAAAGTCAATTAAGTAGACTAAAAGCCATTTGAAAATGACAAATACATGTTTATTTTTGTATTTGCTTAAAAAATTACATTTGTGGCACCTTGCCCTAGATATGTATTTGGAAACATGGAATGACAAATTTACAATGTAAAATGATATTTACAAAAAGGCATTTTTCCAGATTATTGCACCACTTGTTTTCTTCATTCATTGCCAAACATCATAAGGAAGGGAAATAAACTCTGATATACATACTAGATAGAGTGTAGATCTGAAAAAGATAGCTGTAGGTCAAGAAGACGAAATGATAATGGATGATAAAGAAGTTGAGCTTCCTCTGTATTTTCTGTATTTGCTTGAACTGTACAAAATGTGTCTGTCCTGGAGTACAAAGAAGGCAAAGGTGTGGGTTGGGGAAGAAAAGCTAAATATTTGAAGAGGAATACACATACCTGCACACACTGGTTGTTACTGTCTGCTATTAATATTTTTCCATTTGTAGATGCAGCTACACCTTGAAGATTTGTAAATTCCCCTTTGTTTCTTCCTTTGGTGCCTAAAATTGACAACAGAGCATATAAGAAATCAGGTTAGACAGGACTAATCAGTTAGGACCTGAATGCCAACACATGCATTCATTACATCCTTGATCTATAGATTTCTATTTGAAGAGTTCTTATCACTGCTACAAATTCAAACAACCATCTCAGTATCAGATCCACAATTCTAAGTTCAAGAAGGGATTGTTCTTATTCTTTGGCATGTATGCCATCTAAATCCCCATCAATGTAATTACCTCTTTGGCCTTCAGTGTTCACAGTTTGCTTCTTGCATGAGCGAACTAGTAAAATGTTTTCTCATAGTGATGGACTTTTTTTTAAATTGTGGATTTTTATTCAACTGAGAAGTCAATGAAAGGGGTAGTACTGTGGGAACATACAGACAGAGGCTAAGATAGGAACCTGGACAGATGACAATTAGCTATTTCTCTTCGGTGAATTCACAAGTTGAGATAAAACATATCAGTGATCACTTTGGATGGGGCCATTTCAAGACAAGGAAGTTTCCTATTCACTCATACACAGTTTTCAGTCATAGGCTTTAAAAACTGTCTTAGAAGGGAAATGCAGATGAAGAACTGGTTTTGAATGACTGGGACACATGGACCAATGAAGACCAACACCTGGAGACTGACTGCTTCTGCAAAGACCTTAGATTGTTCTAATAAAACAGTGCACACACACAGAGACGCCATTTTTACCCAGGACAAATGTAGTAGAGATTTATATAGAACTGTAAGTGTTGTCCCCAGTGGCTTAAGGGGATAAGGAGATGTAAAATGTCAAGTTTTTGCAGACGTTCATTAAGTTTAGGTGCCTCATTACTTAGATGTTTGTTCTGAGATATTCCAAGGCAAGTCACAGAGCAAACTGATGTCTTTAAAAGGTCAACCCTAAAGTGGCTGGTTCAAATTACATCTGGAGCACAGGAACAGTATCCAAATTCCTGCTTTGTAAAGGAAGCTCATGGGTCTTTAGACAAGACTGCAGTTATGATCTTGGACCCCAAGGTTATTCATAATGAATGAATGGATTTTGAAACAAAAAGACTTTATAAGCTGTTCCTTCCAAGGCTTGGATGCAGTGCTATTTTTCCTCGTGAAGTATTTTTACAAGCATTCACTGGCTGTATATCAGACATTAATTGGTTTCAATATATGGTTTTAACTGAAAAACTTGCATTTTGTTTTAGTCAGTCCAAAATATCCTGGAGCTCAGTGATTAAAACTGTTCTGACTGTGATGCCCAAGGGAAGAGATACATATTAGCTCTAATTTGTATCTAGCTTTCATTAGGGATGTGTATTCTCTTAACCCTTCTTTCTGCTGTGGTGATGGCTGTGGGATGCATATTTCCTGTCACTGGCTAACAAATAACATTTAATTCCTCTGCACTTGGTGCTGCGAGGATGTCTCTTTGTTTCAAGGCTTTTTTCTTGAACTCCATATGCTTCATTCTCTAAACAAGGCAAAAACTTCTCAACTTCTGTGCTGCAAGGGGAAAGTACATATTCAGGGAATAGTGAGTTACACACCAATTACATTACCCACATTTGAGCCATTTCTGTGTGTTCTTTTAATGAGCAGTGCCTGAGGGATGCATGCCGTAATTTTTTTTCCACCATATGCTAATGATAAGTTTCCTTTTTGCCTTTTAGCTGAAGAGAATGGATGAAAAGGGAGAAACATTCCTTTTACTACTGAGAGTAAAGGGAAAACATTTGCTGGAAAAGAGGAGGCGTAAGCTAGAGCATCTGGAACCAACTAGCACAAACTTTATGGAATGTATGTTCTTTATCCTTAGAAAAAATGTTCTTGAAAGTCAAGGAATTTAATTTTTAAAGATAAGAGAGCCCTATATAAAGAGTTACTCAGAGTGTTCTTCAGTGGGACCTTGTAAACATACATCAAAGGAAAAATAGAAGAAATTACCCAGGAATGCCATAGTCATATTTCACAGTAAGTTTAAGAAATAGTAATTTATTAGCACAACGTGCAGATGAAATTCAGCTCTATGCAGCATCCTTGTATATAGCTTTGTGGCTGTTAAACCCATCACATCGGTCCTTATTTGCACACAGTCCCCCTCTGCAGTGGCACAAACTCTTCTGAAGAAGCAAGCTGAGGTTAGTGAAACACAGCTGATTTCCTAACTTACGTTGAAGAGGAAAACAGGTAACTCTGAACTTTCTGATTTGAATAATTCAGTAGGCCAGCAAAGACCTGAATCCAAGCATTGGCAGTGGCAGCAGTTCAATGAGAGGAAGGCTTGTGGTAAAGCATTTCAGCCTCTGGAAAAGCAGGCTCCTGCAGCTGGCTCTGTAATACCAGATGATAGCTCCCTCCTCTAAGTAGAGGTTCCTGCCTTATAAACATACCTGCCTAGAGAGAGTCTTCAGAAAATCCTTTACTGCAAGATACCACCCTTCTGTATCAAGGCACCCCATGATTTGTCTCTCTTCTCTCAGTCACGGGCAATCACCCATCACTCCTTTGCCTAGGAAGGCACCAACATTTCAAATCCACAGGGATGGAACCAGAGGACGGTTGTGGGATTCTCATTCCAGTGTTTCCCAAGCAGCCTGGTTTAGAGATGAAAGCCAGCATCTTTTGTGCCTGTCTGCCCAGCCTTACCTCCCTCTTGTTCTGAGCTACTGTGGGGCACAGAGGAGGGAAAGACATTTTACTGCAACTTCTGTGCCAAGCTGCTGAGGATTGGGAGAGGACAGCAGAGTTTTCAAAGGGGGAAGGCTGAACAGTTATTAGGAAGAAGATCTGTGGCCTGTGGAATAGCTCCTTTTATATCATCCTTGTATACAGATAATAAATAATCAGATTTGCCTTAGCCCCATCTAATTCCTTCTGGTATTTGAAGCATAGCCTGCAGAAACCAATTAATTTAGCTTTGAAGATATGCTTTCATCAAAAAAAAATCTGGTTTTAGCTCAAGACAATCTAGCACACACAAAATGCTTCATAATTTCAATCTTTTATTCTTGCACAATAGAGGTCAGATTGAATGTCACCAAAAAAGAAGGAAAAAAAGTATCTAAAAGCCCATTAACATCACAGGAGATGTTAAAAATTACATCATGTAACTGCAATAAGAATCTGTTGTAAGTGATGGGCATCTGGACAAACCTGTGGTACAATGTACATTTTTGATGCTCATAGTAATAGAAGGAGCAGTTTTTTCTTTCTAAGTTTTACTAATATGAATAAAAACCTCCTTGCTTGCTAACCTAGATTTACCAGATTCCTAAAACACAAAGAAAAACCATGTCACTGCCCTCAGCAGGAGGGAATGGATTGAGAGAGACAAAAACCTGCAGAAAGATTACAGATTAATGGGGAGACTTTAGAGGTTGCAAGTAGCCATAACCAGTTGTGTAAATACCATTTAGTTCCTGCCTACAGCACTTCAAACACTTCTTGGATTGTTCTCTATGTGATACTGAAAAAAAAAGGATAAACCTAAACAGCATGAAAAGGTCTAAATAGACAGGTATCAAGGAGTTTTCTTGTTCCCTAGCTTCATTTCTTTATTCCTCAATTATGAGGATGTAATACCCTCTCTCATAATAGATACAGCTCAAACACAAAAGGCTTTGCAGTAAAACTGCACCAAATCAGATTGTTAAGAAGCTATGTGCTTATTGTAAAATAAATTCCAGCGTTTTTAATCCAAGTTCCCATGCAAATTTCTGTTTTAAAATCAATCAGTCTGTTGGATGCAGGCACACAATGTTTGTAACCTTTCAAGAGGAATGAATAATTCAGTAGGAACTCTGGCAGATACTCCCACACACTGTCAGTAGTAAAGTTTGGGCTGATTTGTATTAATTTACTTTACAGAGCATCTGTCCCTAAAAGCTTGGCCAAGACCACCTCCAAGCCTTGCTTGTGCAGCAGAGCCCCTGCCACCACAGCTATGTATGCACAAATCCTAGGGGCAGGTACAACTCAGAAGCAGCCCTTTGCTAGTACAGCAGCAAGACCACAAATAACATGACTTGAACCAAGACCAGGTCTCTGTTGCCAGGACATCAGATCCACACTGGGGATTTTGCCAGCAACGTGATGTCAGAGTTCTTCAGCCCCTGTCCAATAAATGTATGACTGCAAAACTATGCAGTGTAGGCCTGGATTTCACACTGGCCACTGCAAAGCCATGAAGAGTTCATGACAAGCTTCAGAGGGATTTGAGCTAACAAACTGGAAAATTAAATTCTATTTCCCCATTACTAGGCGTTACTATTTCTACAGAAATATAAATGCTGTATAGAAAACATCTTGCTATTTCATACTACTTATTAATGGGTGTGTTCCAAAGGTCTGGAATAGAAAATGAAGAACACCCGATTAATGTGTGTCAGGGGAGCCTCTGAATTTCATGTATCATACTTCTGCACTACAGGGAACAACTACGCATACACATCCCTTCCTTCTCCAGTGCCCTTAGCCAGGTTGTAAATTGGTCAGGACTGGATCTTGCTGGAAAGGTAGAGAAGAGATAGGGGAATGGGGGGAAGCAGATGCTGCTTGCTACAGGGAGAAGATTTCTCTGGACCATCCATACAAGGGGGCTAACTGCAGTTGGAAAAATACGTTTTTTCAAGGTTATATGGGTACACATAGAACCCACTTGTATTGCTGTGAAAGCTCAAGAAGTATATATCTATAGGCAACCCTGTTCCTTTCAAACAGGACAATCCAATACAGAGTTTCAGGCAAAGGCCTTCAGAGAAAAATTAAAGCAGCAGCACCTGATCAATAATCCCTTTGCTTTCCCTAAGCCTGCTTTTAAACTGCACAAAAGCTATTACACAGGCCTTGTTCATGAGTTTTTATGTGGAGTAAATTCGTAACATGGCTCCTATTTGCTTTCAGCATTGATAACAGACCAGAAGACATCTACACCTAGTAAGGAAGCTGACAGAAGGTACTGCTAAAGGCACTTTTTTTTTTTTTTTTTTTTTTTGACATTAACTCTAACAGCTAAACTTAGATGCTCTGTTACATGACTGAACAGACAACAAAACATAGTCTGAGGAAATGGAAAATTGAACTTTCTACCAGAGAGCCAACTCTCCATCTGGCTGTATCTGATGCCAGTCCCAAGTATAAATAAATGAAGAGAAAAAGCAGTTGAAGTGGGAAATAGCACCACTACTGCTAAACGGCCTCAAAGAACCCAGTCACGAAAAGTGCCAGAAGAGAGTAAGTACCAAGGCATATGGCACAGCGTGGCAGAGCTAGAGCACAAGATGGGGTACTGGATAGAGTAGCTAACTGATGCCAGCCATGGCTTTTAACCCGCCTTTGGAGGACATGGGAGAGATTTACCAGGGAAGGTGGAAGTGGCTGACACTGTGAACATCCCTCACCTCCACTTACCTCTGCTCAGCATGGGTCTAAGCACAAAAGCAGGGTTATGGAAAGGAGCTTTCCCTCTTACTTTAGTGCTTTCCATTTGCAGAGGCAGCAAGAAACATCACAAAACAATTATTCTCTGGGTATCATAAGCACATTCTGGTTTTCATTTGTATAAACTAAGTACATGCTACACAGATACTGCACGGACACACTCTTAGAGGACACGCCTGTTTAAGAAATTTTTTTTTAAATGTTGAGGATATAAATTATTGAGAGAGAAAGGGAGGAAGTAAGAAATACTCTGTTCTTGCAAATAATGAATTACACGAATGTGTGAATGTGCAGTCATTAGCTTGACCTTAAAATGTCTGAATCAAACCATGTGCCATTTTAAAAGCCATGAATAACAGAATCGGCAAAAGATACAATGGAGGATTCCCCATGAACATAAGCACTTAACTGTACCAATGTTGTATTAATGCTATCTCTTTTAATACTAGCAAAAGAACAATCTCTTGCTATGAGCTGATCAATTTAGTTGTGCATAAAAGCCCATATATCAGAATATATACAAAAGCATACCCCGTATACTTGGATGCCCGTAGGAATACTACAGTATGGTTCTCCAACACAGCTGTATGAGCTTCTGGCAGGCCCATCATAAAATTTATCTTGCCCAGTTTAAAATACAAATCCAGATTTGTCCAGGGATATCAGAGGAATTCAACAGTGGGTTCAAAATAGATATGCAGTTATATTGGAAAACAGTGATAAACTTTATTTTACATTACCTCATCAACAAACGAACCAAGCCTTAACTTTCTGAAGTGAGCTGAAACTGGAACTAAATGAACTCTTCAATCCGTGAAGGCAATCCCTGTGAAAATGTCAGAAGCTCTACCTGTCTTCATTAATTCTGCATACTTTGGAAGGCTGTAAAAGTCTAGAGCATTACAGCTGCAATGGCTTAAGAGACCTTTCAGACAATGCATACGTAAGCTCACAGAAGCTCAGAGGGACATCTCTATGTAGGGTCATTCGGTGAAATGAGTGGCTGAGAACTGAGTATGTAATAGGACAAAGTATTACTCTCAGCTCAGTTTTTCAATAAAATAGCAATCCATATATCCCAAATGTGGACACTTCTGAGAGGTTTCATTAAGCAAAAGCTCTGAGACACATGTAGCTCTTGTTCTAATTCTTCTCTCTTCTTTTCTGGGGGGTTAGAGTGGTGAAGAAGGGAAGGAGGCAGAACTCCAAAATAAAGCACATGTTCATTACTGCATCACAACAGAAAGAAAGGGCACTGCAATTTCTGGAAAACATTTAAGACTTAGAGAGTTTATGGTGTGTTGGAGAGAATAGTTTTAAAAAAAAATCCAGCAAACACCACCAGCCACAAAACCCAAACCAGAGCCATACCACTATTTGGCAGTCAGGCTAGAAACTGCTCAGTAGAAGCAAGGGATACAGAACCAGAAATTACAAGCTGAAATCACTTTAATCCATAACAATATACCTTTGTAATAAGAATATTAACATTTTAAAAATAATTTCAGGACATTTTGTTGGTTGTTTCTCTAAGTATTTAGATCTACTACTTCCACGCTAGGACAAATTAATGCTTGATATATGTGAATAAGAGGGCTTAGCATTCAGTGAAGGTGTCAGCCACAATGGGTAAGAACTCCCCTCTTACTCACAGGCACCGTGTACCTGTGCAGGCTTTCTTATCCTGCTCCTACATGCTACAGACCCAAAGGCTCTGACTGAATCCAGCCCCTTCTCTGTCTAGCATGTAACATGTCACAACCATTCCAGAAGAGATGAGAAGGATGTTTTCTTTCTAGACAGGATTCAGACATTATTATTAACTTTTTGTTTAACCCTGTCTCAAAAACAAGGCCCCAAAAAGATCTAGGCTACATTTATACATACCCTCTGCTGCTTTTACCAGTACCAACAGTGAAACTGCATTTGGGAAGAGACACAGGTCCCCTTCCATTCCAGCAGGAGCCTGAGGCTGATCACTCTGCCCTGTGCAAGGGCTTCTCTCCCAGGGGATTACTAAGAGGGGCTCTGCCAGTGGTGACTACAGCAATAGCCTGTGCAACAAGAACACCCTTCTGCTAGAGGAAGGGCTATGTCTGGGTACTAATTTAACAAAGGTCGTCTGCCAGCTTTGGACAATAAAGCATAGTCAGTGCCGAGTAGGGCTGGCTCAATTTCATTATGAATTATTCTACATAAATTTTAACTTTTGACTCTGCAGTCACCATGAAATTTAGCCTCAGTGACAGTAAAGCTGGGTATCATCGCCCCTGTAAAAAATGCTTTGAGTTGTTATATTTATGGGGTCATTCATCTTACTAGGAAATGCACTGGCCATCTGGGAAAGGCTGGTCATTTTATGAGTGGCTTCATCCAAAGCTTACATTGTACTGTCCTATTCAGCAAGCAAAGCATGCTTGATGAAGACATTTTCTGATATAAGACCATTATGTTACTGCATGTACTTTCTATCAAAGCAAGGAATTGATTAGAAATACTGACTGATGAGAAATCAGATGGACAGGGTTAACCAATGACAAATGGTGTCCAGATGAATTTTCAATAGAATTACTAAAAACCCCTCCAGGATTAACCACCATCCATTCTCTGCTACAAAAGGGAAAGCCACCTTGCCAACTGGTTGTCAAACTTGGTAACACATACTACTGAAATCCTGACTTGTACATATTAAGAATTAACTAGATTTTTTCTTTAGTTGTGCAAAGTGAAAAGTATTTTCTAACTATCTGACACTGTGTAACCACAATACTCCATGGTACAGACTTTTAAAATTATGAGTTGTTATTATTATAAAGTTTAAAACCTGTGTACATCAAAAGACCTGAAATAAAATCACAGTGAATGACACCAAGATGTTATATTTTTACTAAGCATTAGAATGCCACAGATTTAGAGATAACATTGCACTATATAAAGAACCAAAGACGTTTAGATATTGGGGGAAAAAGCAATAAAGGAAATAATAATTCTGTCCTATGCTGACATAATGAAATAACTGTATATGACCACAGGATTTAGCATGTATAGTTCCAGGTTAATTAATTAGATTAATCTTCAGGGCAATAGTTTTAAAGGAGTCCTCCTGCTTCCCTTCTTGCTATTCAACTTTTAAGGAAGTAATTTAATCTAATCTGAAGCACTGATTTTATGTATTTTCATTTTTTGATGCCCAATAGAGTACAGAAGAGGTGGTAAAATATTTTATCCCAAATTAAATGTATGCATTTTGCAACCCAGAATTTTTGAAGTATGTGCTTTTAAAATTGATGTATGAAGTCAAGAGGCCTAAAGGTATTACCAACTTGCTCTATTTACAGCTCTTAAACCTTAAAATAATTTAACTTCTAGATTTTTTTCATCCAATTTTTCTGAACTATTATTAAGTATGTCAATAGGTAGCAGACAAGTCACCTACCTACTCTGAAGATCAAATCATCTTCAATGGGATTCTCTTTTCTTTTGCCAGTGCTGTACATGCTCGCAGGTCTTTTCACAGCTTTCTGCTTCACATGACCACTGCCAGGAGATTTAACACGCCTCTTAACCCCTTCAGTGGTAGGGGACACATCTGCTGATCTGACCACTTTAAGTTTGAATGGGCTGCCCTTGATATGTTGATCATAAAGTCTCAGTGATAAAGTGAAATCCCCTTCTTTCTGAACAGTATACAAAAATTCATAAGTGCCATTTTTATTGTCAAGTATTTCTCCATCTGCTACACTCCCATCAGGTGTGCTCAGTTCAGCAGTGAGGTAAGCATTTCCAGATTTACAGAGCTCCCCATCTTTGTCCTTAGTTGTGATGGTAACAGACATGGGCTGTCCGATCACTGTCTGCCTCAGTCCCTCACCTGTGGCAACTGTTTCAGAGGCAACAGCATTGGTGGTTAAAATAGTACCCAGATTGTGAATGGATTTCTTCAGGCCTTCTGTTTCCACTATGAAGTCCAACTGATCATTTTCACGGGGCTGCAATGGGAAGTCCCGCTCGGCCAGTTCATTCAGCTTGTCACTCATTTGCTTCTTCACCAGCAGAACTTCAGTTTCAGTGCCGTGGTTGAGGGCTTGCGCCGTAAAGTTGCTGCAACTTTTAATGCTTTCTTGCCCTTCAAGTAAAGTATCCAGCTGTGTCTGGAGGACCTGTGCATTATCAAACACCAGATTACCATCGTGTTACAAGAACTATCCTAGCAAGATGTAGCATGCTTTATATTTGAAGGCCTTTGTAGAAACCCGCTTTATGTTAGAGTTTATTTTAAAGTGTCATTTTAGGAAAAAGTACCACACTGATCCCCTACATGTTCTTGAAGTATCATGCTGCAACACAAAAAATGTACCCTGTTTTGGGTCTTCAAGACTTCACAGATCTACTGTCACACTAGATTGAATTATTGCCCCACCTATCTGACTTTTTTTTTTTTTTTAAAAAAAAAAAAAGGCTCAAACCCTGCTCCATCTAACTCTCAGCAGTCACAGTTAATGAGGTAGTTGCCAGGAACTGAGCTGTGTGCACAGATATATTTTGGAATCATCAGTCCCATTAATAAGGGAAGCTGCAAGAAACTTCTTGAAACTATTTCTTCAGAGATAAAGGAAACCTTGGGCTACTCCTCTATGGAGACAGACAAGAAGGCACTCTCAAGATCTGTGCATCCATTCTGAGGAAAAGTGTGATTCTTAATTTAAATAAGTGAAGAAGAGGAGAGTGTCCCCAGAAGAAGAGAGTAAGTTGATTTCTCAGTTTCAGCAGGCAGGAAAGCAAAACATAAAGAATGGATTGTGGGTATTAGGAAGACTTGAGCCGAGTAGTCTGAAATTTTGGTGAGCAGCAAGTAGCTACTCTATATTTAAGACTGAGAAAGAGCTTTTATTATAGGCTTAGTTCTGGCCCTCAGTCTAAAATCCCTGAAATGGCATTGACCTCAGAATGGTTAGGTGTGGGATGGGAACAAGGCTAACACTTTTTTTAAACCAGTTTTGCAGTGAATTGGAAAAAGGATCCCTGAATTCCCTGAATTATAACAACCTAACAGAGAAATTCATGACAGTCAGGAAAACCCAAACATTCCAGCTACCCCCCACACTCACCACTGATGAAATCCCCAACCCAAAGTACCTAGTCACACATGTGCTATGCTTTTCCTACAGAGAACTAGGACATAGTTCTACATGGAGACATACCATGTAATGACACTGCATTTTAAGGGCATTTTTCTTCTGAATTATACAAAGGTATCTGCTTTTCACCCATAGGAGAAAATTCAGGCTGATATGGTTAAGTGATAACAACACAGAATCTTTTGCAAGCAAAACAGAATGAACAAACTTCAGGACTAAACTGAATTTTCAAGTTTTCCATTTTTCTAGGCATCTATAAACCTCTCAGGATTCAATATAAGGCATTTCTAATCTGCCTGGTCTTTATTCCAGAACATAAGTAGTTAAACAGATAGCACAGCTACTGAAGTCCCAGGATGACAAAACCCCATATTCTTGGGGTAACAAACCACAAACTGAGGATGAAGACAATTTGCAGCTACATTTTAAAACCATTATTTTCTCAATATAGTTTTATTTCATTGCAAAGATGGAAAATATTTAATCCTACCATAAGTAATACTTAAAATGTGTTTAGAGTATTTTACACAGGGCATCTTTCAGTCCATTGGACAACTGAAACTGAATTGCCAACTTCCTTTTAGTAAAGCATAGCCCTTTCATTTTTTCATTTTTGCAAAGTACATGATCAAAATGACAGAATATTTGGGCTTGAGTAAATTTGCAGGACTACTATTCATTCAAAAGGAAAATCCAATTCCAATCACTCTTTGTTATACAAACAGGGGAGATGTCTCTTAGTGCTTATGTGTAGCTTTGTAAGAATTTCGCTCTCTAGCACCCAAAATAGTTTTTAAACTACTGTAAATCCCTTTAAACAACAATAAGATAATTTAGCATGTTGTATGAACTTTGTACACACCCTGAGTATATTTGCTTGCTAAGAAAATAAGGTTTTGTGACATCTTGGATATGGGATCGAAGTCCAAATTTTTGATGCTAAAAGCTCCTCAACTGCTACTTAGCTTTGGAGATGACTAAATTCTGTTCCCCAAGGGTTTTGGGCTCTCTGTGTTCCCGAAAGTACACATCTCGTGCACATGTTAGAATTCCTTCATTTTCACAGCCCCAGCAGTTCAATACCTTCCTAATGATCAAGCCTGTTTCAGATCAAGGAATGCAGCATTCCTCTGCTTCAGACATCTGGAGATGCTTAAACGGCTCTGTAATCACACAGAATGCCCAAAGATGCCGGTATTATCAGGCACTCTTGAAACTCCAGTTGTTGATGCTACTTTCTTTTAAAGGATACTTTGAGGGAAGAGATCTTTCTTTTATATAAAACAGATAACAGATGCCCAGGAAGACAAGGACTAAATTCTCCCAGTTGCCTGGTTTAGACTTACTAAACCTCAACAAAAACAAAACCCCTACACTCCAGGCCATAGGCTTCTCTTTGTAAAAGGGCAGATTTCAGTTTTCTTCCTCTGAAGTTTAGTCTGCAATACAGGGGTAAAAATGCAAGATTCAATCATACAGATAGGAAGTAAAAGAGTGAATACAGCTCTGGAAGTTATTGCCTCCCTGCATTTGCCTGAGATGTCCCTTCAGTATTTGTGTGTTCCAACTAGTGACAGCTAACATGAAATATGTTACCAGGCATTTGAAAGGAAAACAGTGCTTTAAAGCAAAACAAGTAGATGCCTTGCTCAGTTCTTCAGGAGAAATAGTTTGGCCTTTATCTTCATGGGGCATTCATAGGATTGCAGCCCAAGGATTTCAGACTTTGCTTTGGTACTCTTTTATTGTCATCTGCACATCAGCATGCTGGCTTTAAGCAAATGCCCACTTAGCATGTTGGCCATTTCAGATCCTCACACACCATGCACAAAGGGCTACCTGCCTGTACAGGGTCTAGATTCCATTTATAAGGCTGGACACCCACAAGCAAGGCTCTGCAGCACTTGATTTCAGAAAACAAAGTTCTCCTCTGGATCTTAGACACAATTTCTCAAACTAGCATCCTGCATCATTTGAAAAAACTGGCTGATTAAATTAATAGCTTTTAATTGAAGCAAAACATGCATCTTACTTTGTGTTTAAGGCCATAATTCACTTCCAGTTCCATAAGCAGCACACTCTTTCGCACATTTAAAGTCTTCTGGAGTTCATCAAAAGTGGAATGAATGTCATCTACAATACTAGCCTTTTGGTTGGTTAACTGGTGTATGATTTCAGATATAAAATGAAGTGCTGAGTCGATCTCTGGAAGCCTGAGGGAGGGATTAAATTACAAAGATTGCTGTTTTAAAAATCATTAAGCATTGGCCCTTGCCCTGATATCTTTTGATGAAACAATCTCATCTGCAGTCTATCTTTAAACTCGGTCATTTCCCAGAAGTAAATTCATTCATTTTATAACCACATAGGGATTTTGGTCTCATAAAATAAGGTTAAGTCAGGATTTTCCTTTGTGGATATCCATTAGACTTTAGGCATTTCCAACAAGGAGGCCTTTATGCAAATGTATCTGCTCAGGAATATAACTAGATCTACCCTACTTTTTCTTTCTTTTTTTTTTTTTTTTTAAGCCTTTCTGCCACCATAGTGTTTGTACTAGTCTTTTAAGCATCCAGTATTATTTATTTACCATTAAATTCATGACTGGCTAGTACTTTTCTCCTTAACATATTATGCCCCTTCTTTGGAGGACACCTGCATTTCTAATGGCCTCTAGTTTGTGAAAGACAGACAGGAATCTTGCTTTTTTCTCTAATCCCTCAGTGCATTATACTCAATGGATTTTTTTCTCCTTATGCTAGCCTCACTATCCCTGTTTTCTAGGTAAATGTCCATGGCACCAGCACATTAAAACATCTACCCAAGGTAACACAGGAAGGCAGTGGTAGAACTGAAAACAGAAAATAATCAGTGGAGTCTCCATACCTTTTGTTGACAGCATCCAACTGGACTTGGAGGGAAGCCTTGTGTTGCTCTACCACATCCTTGAGTGGAACCGTGGGATGCTCTGCATGTTCTCCTTCCGTACACTCCCGGCACATGGCTGTCTCACAGGACTGGCAGTAAAATTCCATCACCTGGAAAAACGCACAAGTCTAAATTCAAACATGACAGAAGTAACATCACTCAAATCGTATCTTACTGGCTCTTGAACTCATTATTATCCAAGCTCTAAGACAAAGTTTCTCCTTTCTCAGACACCAGTAATTTACTGCATAAAATATGGCTGTTACTCTTACATATTTCATATCAAAATGCTGATTTAAATGCATTTTATTCTATCAGAAAGTGTCAGAATGCCAGCCTGTGAAACAGAATGCTGGATTTCAAGGTTGGCCCTAATATCCTCTTTATACTGTGTAACAGTAAGTTTTGGTGTCTCTTTCAAATACTCTGTGAAGCAACTCAAAAAAACAAGGCATTCAAGTCCCCGCGCTAACTCGAGCCTTAGTCTCCCCAGAGGGTCTGCCAAAGTGTAAACTTAGGCTGTTTTTCCTAACAGGGCCACCGGCAGAACATGAACTTGAGGGAGCTCACCAAAGAGCCTGTATATTTGCTAGAGAAATGCACCCTAAATGAACCAATGTGCTGCAGGGAAAAATCTCCATATCCCATTACTAATCCCTTCAAACCATCAGAACCTCACATCTGAGATTATAAGAGTGCTGATCTCCACTTGAAAGAGGAGGAGATTGTTTCAACCTGTTATATACCCAGTAAGATGCTGTCTGGAGATAAAAAATTATCTTTACATGTAATAAACAACCCAAATTCTGAATATATTCATGAAGAAAAAGAAACAAAAAAAGTGCTGTGGCCAAAGTCACACGTTAGTCAAAATAATGCACATATATGCAAATTCAGCATGAGACTTTCTTTTCCAGCTAGGAAGTCCTTGAGCACAAAGCATTTTAGGCTTATTAAAAGTATATAAGGAAGCTCATAGTTTATGCTTCAAAGCAAGACATTGGCAGCTCTCTTGCATTCAGAACATATCATCAGAATCTTGAATAACTCGGCTGATTCTTCTGGCACTGAGACCTCTCACACAAAGACGATAGTGCTGGAGATGTTGGTTGATGACAAGATGGTTGTGTAAAACCAGCTGTTTTCGGGTGAACAGAGGGACCTGTAACAGCACTGTGCAAAATAGCTGGCTGCTCCAACAATGTCTTGAGAATTAGGAGGGAGAAGTAAGAACCATAATTTGCATGTGACTATTAGCATTAATAGGGATCTTCCTCTGATAAGCTCCTTTCCATCTTTTTCCCATTCTTCCCTCTTATCTCAACTCACAAGATACAGGATTCACATGCGATGAGGGTTTAGTCATTTGTTGGCCATCCATGTAAGCCACTTAAGAGAAAATTTAAAAGCTGCTCCAAATAAACTGTAAAAGATCAATATATATCATTTGTTGGCCATCCATGTAAGCCACTTAAGAGAAAATTTAAAAGCTGCTCCAAATAAACTGTAAAAGATGAAATATATCAGCAAGGGGGAAAAAAAAGTAGACCTTCTAAACAACTACAACCCTCAACAGCACCACTCCAGTCACTGTGAATTTAGCAGTCTCATGGTATTAGATCCTCTCAGGTCTGACAGTTACTTTGGTAGGGACTAAGATGTGATGTAGTCTTACAGTACACAGAGGAAATGAGTTTATCAGAGTTTAGGATTTAAATTCTTTTCAAAGGCTTCAAAAATTTGCTACCAGAAACAACCAAAATGAGTAATATTTTATTAGGAAACTCTTAAGTCTTTTTATATAGTAAAAGAATTTAATTTCTTTTGAGTGAGTGTCAAAAGTTCATCTTTCTGCCTCTTCATAATTTATTGCTTACATTCAAGATATTTTAACAAGCCCTTTACTTATTGAATATTTTTATCTTTGGATACAATGACTAGAATAATTTCTCTGTTTCCTATTGAACACCTCATAATAAGCATCACTATATTTGCAGCAAAATGTGTAAGAAAGAAAGCATCTCACTGGCATGTTAAAGTTTAGCCTAATCAACATTCTTTCTCTTTTCAAGCACCAGAGAAGCACATAAGCTAGAATGACAATAGCAAGCAGACCACAAAGACCTAAAGTGTATGTCTGCGTAGAAATCATCTTCTTTGCCTCAGTCAAATTCAAAATGTTTTGAATGAAGCAGCTTTCATTTCCCACCAAAATCTTTGGATTGTGCCATAGCTGAAGGAGAAAGAAAATCTGGTATTAATATGATTCAGGCTTCAAGTGCCTAGATAAGCTGATTTCCTAAGATTTTGTCTAGCATTTCTTAATCAGGTAAGATTAATTTCTAACTACAGATAGACATGTATTACTGGCTTTTCCTCTCTCCCCTCTATGCCCAACATGGGCATCTCATTTTGTGACATTACCAGAAAGCTTTTCATAACAGGTTTGCTTTACATTACAGCTGTTGGGAGTGTTCTCGTTGACTTCCATGGAAATAGAGCTGAAGCCAGTGTTGGATGCCATAGTATATCCTGCCCAAGAGTTGTCTTCAATTTGGAAAAAACGAGGGTTAGAAGGTATGTTATGAAGTCACTTCATCAGAATATCAAGAATAGGTGTGTTTTTCTTTTTCTAAAGAGAAGCATACAGGCAGTAACTAACACCTGCACAAGTTCAGGAAATGTTTTTCTAGACAAGATCTTATGTACCTGTCAAGTTGCCAAGCTATTGTGTGATCCTTTGAGAAAAAGCTAGTCAGAGATAAGGCATATTCTTTTATTACAAGCATTTAATTTGATGCACTCTATAGGTGGAAAATACACTGCATCTGTAAAAGCATGGATCCTAGACTCTGGGCTGGCTTTCAGTTCAAATTCAAATGAAACCCAAGCATGGACTTTTCAGGATGGGTGACTGCAAAGAGGCTACACCACTTGCTACATATTATGAAGTAATGGACGTACAATTTCACAGACTTCCCTGTCTTGGCTGTTGTAGCTGGTCCCTAAATGATTTTAGACCAATATTCCAAACCAGGATGCTTACCATAGAATCAATCATAGAATGGTTTGAGTTGAAAGGGATCTTAAAGATCATCTAGCTCTAACCCCCCTGCCATGGGCAGGGACACCTTCCACTAGCCCAGGTCGCTCAAAGCCCCGTCCAACCTGGCCTCGAACACTGCCAGGGAGGGGGCAGCCACAGCTCCTCTGCGCAACCTGTTCCAGCGCCTCGCCACCATCACAGTAAAGAATTTCTTCCTGTATCTAATCTAAATCTACCCACTTTCTGTTTAAAACCGTTATCCCTCATCCTATCCCTACACTTCCTGACAAAGCGTCCCTCCTTATCTTTCCTGTAGCCCCCTTTAAGTACTGGAAGGCCACTATAAGGTCTCCTGAAGCCTTCTCTTCTCCAGGCTGAACAACCTCAATTCTCTCAGCCTTTCTTCATGGGAGAGGTGTTCCAGCCCCCTCATCATTATTGCGGCCCTCCTCTGGACCTACCCCAACAGGTCGATGTCCATCCTGTACTGAGGACCCCAGAGCTGGACACAGCACTCCAGGTGGGGTCTCACCAGAGCAGAGGGGCAGAATCCCCTCCCCTGACCTGCTGCCCACATTTCTCTTGATGCAGCCCAGGATACTGTTGGCTTTCTGGGCTGCGAGTGCACATTGCTGGCTCACAGTCAGTTTTCCATCCACTAACACCCTTGAATCTCACTCCACAGGGCTGCTCTCAATCCACTCCTTGCCCAGCCTGTATTTGTGCTTGGGATTGCCCCAGCCCATATGCAGGACCTTGCACTGAGCCTTGTTGAACTTCATGAGGTTTGCATGGCCCCACCTCTCAAGCCTGTCAAGGTCTTTCTGGATATCCTTATATCCAACAAGAGCTGCATGTGTTTAGAGGCTGAGAATAAAGCCAATTTTAGTTTAATGTGTAGATAGAAGATAGAATCTTCTGTTAGGTTCAAAAGTTCCATATGTGCCCTATTACTCCAATTTAACAAGAACATATATTTGTGCTCTGTGTTGGGGGAATATGAGGAAACACATGTTTATTGTTCAAGCACAGGAAAACATCTCTCATGTTAAGTTACTACAAGCTAAGTTTCATTTTTCATAAGCACACACACAACAAAGATGCCACAACAGAGAATGAGAGGATGTGCACAGAAGCAATAGCATGCACACACGTATGGAAATTATGAGTAGTGGGAATAAGAGATCAACTGGAAAGGAAAGTATCTATCTGCGTGGCCTGAGGAAGGCCAAGTTACAAGCAGACAGGCAAGACAATGAGAAAATATCTGCACATCAGTTTCTATCCAGTTTTAATCAGAGAGGTTTAAATCCAGCATGGCTAGAGAGATTGAAAAAAACTTGTTTAAACAGAAACTTATTTCCAAGCTAATAAAAAGAAGATCTGGTAATATTTAAATGAAATACACTTGATGCAAATTGTTCCCTTGATAGTAAAAACACAATGGGTCTGACCCTACTCCAAGCACTATGTAAAAATTAATGGAGAGAGGATTCAATGCAGAATGACCGCTGGTCCTGTGAAGACATTCCCCTCCAGCAATCACCTCAATCCTCTCTCCTCCCTGAAGCCCCAGCAAAGCTGCTAGCAGCCAGGCATTTGCCACACAGTGCCCTCGTGCTGTGTGCCCATAAAGACAGCAAAAGCCCATTTCCTAAGTCAGGCCTGAGATGCTCAGCACCCTGCCCTGTACACCCTGCCCTTGAACCAGACCTGCCTGGCCAGCCTCAGGCAGCTCTCCCCAAAGCTTATCTCAGCACCTCCTATCACAAGGACTAATGTGTGCACTTTAGCTTTTAATTTCCTAGCTTACAAACCTTTAAATTGGAGTCATCCCCAAACCATCCCAGATACTTATGAAGCAAGAAGATATTCCCATCACACACTACTCAGCATCCCAAGGCACACTATGTTTTGAGGCAAACCAAGTAAATTTGTTTAAAGGACTTACAAACCTACCTTTCCCTACAATTAGTTCTCAGAGAGGTCTAAGGTATTTTTAACTGTAGACAAACCAGATTTTTCTAAACACACCCAAAGAATCATCAGCTGATAATGTAAAATGCAAAACAAGTAACAATTTTTACTTTTTTTCTGCATTTCACAATCAAATGGCTCCTATCACAACTGTTGTATCAGAAAAGAACTATGATTCATTTTAAGGAGAGTCAACACAATGCAGATGAAAAATAGAAATGTATTAATCAGTAACCACTACGCACACAGAAGTACAGTACACATTAAAAAAAGTTACACCAGTTATTCATTAATCAGAGTGTACAGCAAATCTGTTGTAGCTAATTCAAGCAGGTCAGTAAAGGAGAGGGAACTGAATGATTCCTCTGTAAGAGTAATCACTACCTATCAGCTGAATTATTCCTATACAACTGGTATACCTAAACTGAATATCAAGTAAAACCTTCCCAGAAAGTTGTCTTAAAATACTGGCATGTATTTCTTGGCTTATATAGAAGCACACCATTCAGTTTACAACACAGCATCTCTCAGCTTTGCAATGTGGCCTAATTACATGTTTGCATAAGCTTGGCTGTGAAACAGGAACTCATATGCCTACCATGAAGCCACACAGGTTAACACTAAAAATTGTGAAGTAAGCAGAGTTAGAGCCATTCTTGTAATAATCCAGGGATACTTAGTTGGGGGTACTTGCCAGTGAACACACTGATATGATTTGAGGGTTGGGATGCTGGGCAATAAAGAGTAGCTGGGAGAAAAAAACAAAGCAGTCTCCAGGGGTGATACATGAGATACACAAAACACTGCAGCATAAAAAGAAGCTCTCTGTTTCTAGCCTGTGCTGACCTGAAGTATCTTGAGCCAGGACACCCTTTTACTTGGCTCCACGTTAATATGCTCAGATAGCTTTTGGTACTGCCTCAGTGTACAGGTCAGTTAAGCTTATAAGGCCCCTGATGTATACTGCCTAAACAAGCCCACATGTTCCCACAGCAACAGTTGAGTCTACATATAAGAGAGTCATGGAAACCCATACCAAAGAGGCAAAGGCACAAGGTTCAGCACTTGCAGGACAACAATTTTGACCAAATGTGCTAAAAGACAGTATCATCCAAGATGATTCATAAAATGAAATAATATCCTGACTACTTTAAGATGCTCCACAAAGAGCATTTGAGTTAATTTTAAGAATCACTTGTTCTTTGATTTTATAATATGTCAACAAAAGACTAGTGTGATTCCAGTTCCCCCACTATCTTTTTAGAACAAAATATCCATAACAAACGAGACCACTCTGTACATTATCAGTACTTGTACATATCACAGGAGTTCAGCTCACTTACATTTCCATCATGATTGGGGCAGGAGAGCGGTTTGCCCGCAGCAACAGCAGTGACAGTCTCCAAGATGGAGGACTCTTCAATGCTGTTGTCTGGCGTTCGTTGCAGGACATCCATCAGGTTGGTGATAAAGAAGTTGTTCTGGAGTGCAGAAACCCCTTTCTCTGGCAGAATGGAGGTCTGGCGGCACACGGGGCAAGAAAGGGTTAAGCTATGGGCTGGAATGTAATTCTGTAAGCACCTATGGGGAAGGGAGGTGGAAGGGGAGAAAGAGAGACAAAGTATGATCAAAGAGGAAAATAACTCCCTGCAGTTTAAGAACTGGTTTGAAACAGTGCTACCCCTACTTATTCAAGGAAAGGTACATCACCAGACTTCAGAAGTGGTTATGGGGATTTTTTTTCCCATTAACTCTTTTTCCTCTGTCACATGAAAAAAGATTCTATGACATCATTATAAGAATTATGTACCTTTGAGATATTTGTGCAGTGTGCATCCATGCTTCCAGACATCTACTGTATCCTGCTCACAGGATAGTACAAATTATAAACTATCAGATAAAGTTTGACAGACTTGAAGTTATTGCATGAATTATTCGAGCCTGTGTCTTTAACTGACTAACCGGTGGTTGACCCTTGTCTTTCCAATAGAATCTCCTTTATTAACTTGTATTTGTGGGTTTAGTGTTTCAGAGCTAAAAACTAGTCCCAATGAAACCAATGGAAAGTTTTCCATTTATTTCAATTAGGAAAGTTATTTGGCAGTTAGCCAGAATCAACAGAGCTCTCTTTACAACACAGAGAAGCACGTCCTAGGTTATCACAGTTTATGTTAACGGGAGTTTTGGAGATTTTTGTTTGCTTGTGTTTGACTTGGGGGGGTGGGGTGGGTTTTTTTTAGGAAGACTGATTTTCACAGAATATAAATCTGGCTCAAAAGTTCTGTGACTGACAAAACACAGCAGACTGGCCTAGGTGAATGTGCCGCTTTGGGCCTTGAAAATCAAATTAACAGCTGCTGGGCATGCAACATCCAACTACAACTGGCAATTCAATATAGACCCATAAGCACAGGAAGCTTTGCAGAATGCAGTTAAGGGAAGCAGTGCTACACCAAATACATCCCGAGACGCCAAGAAAGTGTGACCTTGCACAGCTACAGAGGTCTTATCCAATTCCAAGAGCTTTGCTTGCACCACTCTTTAACCTCCCCTGGCAGCTCTCCTCCTGACCCCCCAGTAAGGGCTCTGTGAAAGGAAAGCTTAGGCTTTGCACCTCAGCAGTACACTGGAAGAGTTCTTCCAACCCCTCTCCATAACCAGATCAGCATAAGAGGATTACAGTGAAAACCAGAAGCTGGCCTTGGGATTTACACATGAACAGAAGTTAAGTAATTTAAGACATGGTGCTGAAAATCTTGACTTCGCTGACTCCAGTGAGACTTTCACTGCTGACTTGTGTAAGGTCAGGGTTTCTATTCTTCTGCAAAAGACCAGTTCATCTGACACACTCAGATGCACAATTTTTCTTCTTCCTTGTGCAAAATTAGATATGCACGCCACAATTTTAAGAGGTGAAAATCTCCTGAACTAAATGTTTGAAAAAAATACCATTTATTAAAATTCTCATGCTATTCAGTATATAATCCAAAGAGTGGCATCCCATCATCAGATAAAGAACTCTAACCAATGATTCTTCAGCTGATTTTTCTGCAAATGCTGTATTTTCTCCACCATTTGATGGATAATACAACATTAAAGTATTACTATGTATATTCAATTCATTCAGCTAAATACAGTAGAAGGCAGGTTGCTGTTTCATCAGATCTCTTTTCAGACAGATTTTTAACTTCAGTCAACCAAGCTGCAGAATAATGAAGACATTTAATCACAAGTTATTAATAATGTATATACCATGTCGAACCTTTGGACATTAAAGGATGGGATAATTATTTCTCTGCTTAGTAAATCAACAAAGAAAGGTTTTTATTGTTTCTAATTATAGGCTAATCAGTATAAATTTGAGGCCATTAATTTGAGGTCCAGATTCTGACCGCCATCACCTTTCACATTGTGGTAACTGTATTCATTAGTTTAATTGGATTTACTTTTTATTTACTCTTGCATAAAGGGAGTGTATTCTAAATAATGCTCTGCTGTCTCTTCCTCCTGCCTGCCACAAATAACAGTGTTTTTCTACATCCCTGCCTCACCAGCCTTCTCAGACTTTATCATGGTTTAACATAACAAGTAAAGTCCTTGTCCACTAAAGGATGCATTGTTCTGTGCTTGTTGCACAACACAAATACTTAGTTACCAGCATGAGGAAAGGACTTACCTCTCACAGAAAGTGTGCAGGCAGGGAAGTACTTTGGGGTTCTTGTAACGGTCCAAGCATATGCTGCAAATCAGAAACTGCTTGTCAATCTGACGGACCACAGGACTTGGGATGTTGGAGCCTTCACTGGCCATCCTAGACCACTGACATATGGGTCCTGTTCCCTTCTACCCTGCACACTGCTGAAATGGGGTGGGGAAAAGAGGAAAAAAGAAAGATGGCTTATAAACTCCATGAAATAACAAAATCAACGAATAAGTCATGTTTCATCCTTATGCAGGAATTCATATTTCCATACAAAACCAGAACAGTGAAGAATTAAACTTCCAAAATGGCTTATCACTGATGAGAGCCTGGGAAACAGTCAGCCAAGTCTACAACACCACACATAACACTGAACAGGCATTCTGGAAAGGTATGTTGCCTATGGACTGAGAGTTACTGGGCTGTCTGGTTTTAAAGAAATCCCAAGTAAAAAAAGTTCTTGTGCTAGTCGGTTCAGCAAGTGCTAACAAACACAAGACTTCTTATGTCTACAGTACCGCTCACAAAATGCTTAAACTGGAAGTGTGGCAGCTAGACAAATGGCTGCGTCACAGAGAGAGTTTGAAAATGGTTCACCTAGCAATTTTCTCCCTTATCTGTGTTGGTACTGCCAAAGATGTGGTAGGTTTGGACTCCAGGAAGCCTCTAGGAAGTGACCTTCAGAACCAGCCTGCCCCTGTAAAGGCAGTGCTCAAATTCTGCATCAGCTACAGGGGTGAGGTAGATGAAGTTAAAATCCTCACAATAAAAGAGCAAAGAAGAGGCAACTGATAGCTGCTGAGAATCAGCAAAGGTAGGGTGAAGGACACATAAAGTGCATCCAAATAATAAATAAAAGAAAAATGGCATTCCAGGCAGAGAGAGTAGTAAGGATCATGTTTCTAGGACTGAAGATCTTCATAACCCTAGCTTATAAAGCATGAAATAAAAGGGTAAGAAAAAGGTCCACTGACTGACAATTAAAAGCACAGATTAAAGGAAAGCCAGCAGGCTTGGAACACCTGTCCTGGAACATGGCATAGGGAAAGAAAAACTTAGTTTCTTTTTAGCTGGAAGTACAGATTATAGCCAACAGAGTTAATATGTGGATAGAGAAAATGGGAGGGAAAAGAAGGAAGCAACCTCAGAGAAAAGTAAACAGCCTACTAAAATAGTTTAGGAAAACCTGACAAGCAGCTGCCCTGGCAGGGTGACCCAGCAAGAACTCCTCTCCAGCAGAGTTCTTAGCAGACTGGAACACTGGGAGGTTCAGGACCTCTTCCCTGGGGAGCTGACCACAGCATCTCTGTCGCAGCACCAAGTTCTGCCAGTCGTCTTGCACCCACCATGAAACAGGGGCTCCCCTTCTGTGTCACCAGCCAGCCCAGCTGGGCTCCATCTGAGGTAGTGACTTCTTCCCTAAATATTTTCTACCCTAGTTCTTAGTCATCCATTTCAGACAATGTGATGTGTGGCTTGAGGGCAGTTCAGGCTTTCCAAGACAGAACTAACAAGCCCTCTGCTTCGGTGCTGATAATGCTCATTCAAAGGTCAATTCCACAATGACTTGCATGACCTGCAGCATTTTATCAGCAGTGTTACATCAGATCATCCTTCTGTGATGAATGCACAGCACACTAATCTGGGAGAGCTGAACTCATGATGTTCCTCCTGTAGTTCACTTACTACATTGAGCAATTGGCTATTTCTAGGATAATGACAGTGATTATGGATCAAGCTGTACTGACTCCCCTGATAACAGGTTCCTGGGGAATCACCTATGTGCTAGCAAACAGCAGCATACAGTTATTCACAATTAAAATACCCAGCATCAGTAACTAACATTTAATTGAATAGAAAACACTTATGGCAGGCCCTTTTGTTGCATTTTTTTCCAAGAATGGAGAATCTACAAGGTTAAAAATTGCTATAATACTTATAAAATACTATGTTGGTTCATGACACAAAAATGCATGATTTCAGGATTGATCATTTGTTTCACTTTTTCATGTCTTTCCCCACAGTAAGATAAAATGTGAATATTACATAAACAGAAATTAGTTTCACCTATTTAATGCCATAAATCACACACAATAAACCTTGTAGCAGGCCAGTTAGGAACCCATGTTACTTTTTAAAAGCTTGACTTAAAAATGGCTTCACAAAACCGAGTAGAAAGACCATTAACATATTCATGCATTTGGCAGCATAATATGCAGAACTTACATGTTTCAAAAGAAAATGCATTTTACCACTGATGCAGCTGTGTTTGCCTCCCACACTCCCTACCCAAAAGTTAGGGGAAGGGACCCAAACAAAACAGGAAAGACAATCAGAAGCAGGGGGACTTATCAAAAGCACAGTTTCCAAACTGGACACCAGTACATTATGAACAGTAGAAATTTTTTGTTACAGACTAAGCACAGACTATTGAAAAGAAATTGTACTTAAGATATGAAAGAATATCCAGTGAATGCTGCCTGTCACTTAACAGAAGAAAGTTCTCTAGCAACCAGATATTTTCTGTAACTTCATCTTTCTACCATCAAGTACAGCTACACCGCAAATAGCATTTACACAAGGAAAACTCCTGCTGCCTGAAAAATTTCATATTGATTTAATCTGATCTTCATCTTAGTCTTTTCCATTCCCCCAATCATGCTGCAAAATCAGGTGATTCTTAGAATTTCATACACAAAGCTCATGTCAGCCACTTTAATTTTCAAATGTTCATGCGTCAAGCTTTGTCAGTGAAAGAAACCATTAATAGTTAAGAAATAAGTGGTTTTAATATTTGATGTTTTGTCTGGACCGCAGCAGGCCATGACTGTCATTTATCCCCTGTGCTCACATAAATCAGGTTCAAAACATGCACCTGAAAATAGAATTTCATCAGTACATTTCAAGCTTAGGCCACTACCTGGTACAACTACTTCTTACAAAAGTGGTTAATTTAAAAAAAAAATTTGATTATGGAATTTCCATGATTCTGCAGCTTCCCTGAGCCAACCCCGCCTTTGATGCACTTTTGATGAATGTGATATAGCTACGAGAAGGATGATTTTGCCCACTGACTCAATGGAAGTACTGTACAATCAAAGACTATTTAAGGAAAATCTTGAGATTTTAGATGATGCTTTTGAATTTCACCGAAGACAGTATTTATTATTATTTAGGGCAGTGCTCACAGCAGTTCCTCAAAACAGCAGTGTAAGTTTCAGATGTAGCAGCAGTGGGAGATTTTGCAAAGCAACACTATTTTTACAAGAAAAACATTCTTTTTTACAGTAGCATCTTCTGAGCTCAGAAACTGCCAGAGCTCTTCAGAGGTTCATTCTGTCTTCATAACCTAATAAAGAGCATCTGAAGCATGAGCCTTGAAAACAAGTCTGAGAATCACTTCTCCATACAGTTATACTTCATAATTTAAACATGCAAAGCCAAAGGTTTAATGAAACACTGCACCAAACAAGACATGAACCTCCACCCATTTATCTATAAGAAGCACACACTGTAAACCCAGTTCAGGTTTGCTAAATAAAGTGCAGAAAAGGGTTCTGAATATATATACCCTTTGCCACCCCTTTGAGGCTCAAGGATTGTTATCTTTCCAGCCACCTCAAAATTAATATTGTTCTTTTTCCTTCTGCTTGGAGATATGACTATCGGTTTCGATTCATAGTATACTATACAGCAAAGAAAGGAGAAAACAATGGCTCTCTAAGCTAGTGGAAAGCCTTGCGCTGCTACGCATGCATGCCTTCAGGAACGAAAGTCAGGGTGTGGCCCCACCCATGTGAAAAGAACTTCCTATGGCATTAGAAAAGGAAAAAAAACAAATGTTAGGGTACAGCAAATAACAGTTGCCGAGAAGTTGTTTCAGATGAATAGAGCCACGTAATAGGAAAGTGCACCCTTTCTACGGGTATCTTCAAATGAGCTCTGGAATTCCTCAACAGTTATCGAATTCTCTATTAGTTTCCATGGCCTGGCTGAGAAAAAGACATTGGGAAAACTTAAAACTTCCTAAAAGAGCAAAATTCTCTGTTGGTGACACACTGCTATCACCGTACTCCACCCAGCCTGAAAGTACAGCCTGAGGAGAACAAATTGCTTGCAGCTTGTTCATCCTCTTCTTATCAATGGTATTCACAACCCAGAGGGTCTATTCATATATTATGAATGAATAGGTTTCCAATGGCAACGTTTCCAAAGGAACGGTTAGGCCTTGAGAGCCGTAAGAAAGGGTGGGGAACCTCAATAATGTTGCTTCAAGGATCGTGGGAGCTGGGGTTTAAAAGTCCTTGAAAGCAGATATACCCCCTGTCCACAGGCTTTAGGAATAAAGAACAGATTCAAGCCATTTCTAGCAGCAGCCGCAAAATTAGCCGACACAGAACACACCAAGCAAATTAATAATCATAACCGCCACACACTTGTGTAAAAGGCTTGATAAGCTAAATCTGCATTCCTTTCTCTCCCACTCTTGCAATCCGCTTGGTGCCTTGTTTAAAACACAGCAACCCTCTTCATTCTTACAGCATGCAAAAGCATAATGAACGATCGGGGGCCAAAACAGAAGGAGTAACCCAGCAGCAGCCACCAGGAATAACACTGAGCAAACTTGAGTATTTCAGACCTACCCATCTTTGCAGAAAAATAGCTTAATCAGTGCAGTGCTGAGGATAAAATCCTTGCAGGGACGGAGCTGCAGTTTCGTAGTAATCCAAACGAACAAACCATCATCTGTTAATATTTCAAGCCTCACACGTAAAACTCTTTAAGAATCCCTATCACAGCATAGTCATCATTAGATGCACAACAGATTTTGTGCTCTAAGGAGTGATGCTCCATTCCACGAAGAGGACAGGTGGAAAGAAAAATGGAAGAATAAGAGGAGGCCCATTGAAGTCGTCATGAATTTTTTTTCCCCCCCGGGTCATTTACAAGTGGGAGACCCCTTCAGGATTCAAACCAATCAATCTTTATTTAGCACATCTTTTTCTCACTCAGCCTGTGTAGAAAGACTGCAGCAAATGGTGCAAGGGATTGTGGGATAGGGATGCAGCAGAGAGCTGCAACGAGATTCGCTGGGTTATTTTTTTCCTCCCTACTCAGCAATCAGCTGTTTCGAGGCTCCGCGCAGGGCCATTGAATT